TAAAACCATTAATCATAGTTTACTATATTATTTAAAGTAAAAAAAAATATCGGTTATATATATATATCGGTCTCTGATGTAACTTACTCGACAAGGAGCTTAATTATAATCGAAATACAAGAGTTTGTTACTGGTTTTCTGTAATCTAGGGAATTCCAACATTGACTAAAGAATTCTTAAGGCAAATTTCCCCCGTATTTGCTTCACCAGGGGGTGGATCCAGCCATTTTTAAAAGGGTGTTCCAACACAGTGACATGCAAGTCAAACAAAAAAGGGGGTTCCAACTCCCGTAACACACTCCCTCTGGATCCTCCACTGCTAACGTCAATATATATGTTCCTGCTCACACTGTGACTATATAATACCACAGACATAATAATACATATATTTGTCTCTGATAAAACATATTTTGGTCACAGACTCGGGTTAAAATAAAAAGTGGTAAAATCCTATTTGAATAGTCTATATATATATTCTTCGCCATTTGATGTAATTTTGAATTTGGAGGTAGACTTTTTCAACAAATTGTCGGCATTTCTACGGGAACGAACTGTGCGCCTCTCCTTGCCGACCTCATCTTATTTTCACGTGGATTGGAGTTCATTCAGACACCCGTCAAAAACAAGAAGATCAAAGAAGCGAGTTCCTTTAATTTCACATTCAGATCAATATTGATGATGTTCTTTCCATTACACGCGGCAAGCCAAACTTTTCTGATTGCCGGGTTCCATTAACATATTCTTCAGAACTAAAAATCAAAGAACAACTCAAGTTCTTCAACTATCTGGTAAATATTTAAGTTTTATATGCAGGGGGCTGTTAAATTATGTAAAGCTTGAAGAACTTGATAAAAATGGCCCTGATGTGAAATAAATATACAGGGAAAATTGACCCTGCCTCATTTGAGTTCAGAAAATCCAGTACAATTGACTCATTTATCATCACAATCTTTTACGAAATATATCTTTAAAGAGATGTATATTTAAGTAAGTGTGTGTGAATTTTTCTCTTTTCTTTATACTTTTTGTCCATTATTCTATATTCTTTATATTTTAGCATCTCATTAATCATTTCCCTGATGAACAAAAATTATGTCATGTATTCCTTAAGACAAGAACTACAGCATAGACGTAGAAGCCAAAAGCTCATATTGAAGTATTATGTGGACTGGATGAAGGACTGACTCCTGTTATCAATCCAGACGCGATTATTTAACATCAGCAAGACCAAGAATAACCATCACAGCTGAACAGTTTTCTGGTTTTAAATATTTAAAATTTAACTGTCGAGAGTGGATAAATATCGTATTACACGAGATTTGGTGGTGGAATCTGTTTCTCTAATGATTTTCAAACAATACGCAGGCAAACTTATTCCTTCTTTTCGAATGATCTGCAAAAAGATGTGTTCTATCTATGTGACGCCTTTTTTCATGCTGTCACAATAGGAACTTCAGAGGAAAGCAAGAAAATTCGACGTCATAATCAGATTTTAACCAATGAAGAACTGAGATCAAACAAACCACACGTTGATTAAATTTTTTTTATACAATGGGTGCAGAAAGGGATAAATTGTCGAAGAATTAGAGAAATATAGATTCTACCACTGCATCGAGTGTGATACGATATTTATCCACTCGGAGACAGTTAAATTTTCAAATTTAAAACGCGAGGCTCGCCGAGCGTTTTAAATATTTAAAATTTAACTGTCGAGAGTGGATAAATATCGTATTACACGAGATTTGGTGGTGGAATCTGTTTCTCTAATGATTTTCAAACAATACGCAGGCAAAGTTATTCCTTCTTTTCGAATGATCTGCAAACAGATGTGTTCTATCTATGTGACGTCATCAGGCATGGTCGCCTTTTTTCATGCCGTCACAATAGAAAATTCAGAGGAAAGCAAGAAAATTTGACGTCATAATCAGATTTTAACCAATGAAGAACTGAGATCAAACGAACCACACGTTGATTAATTTTTTTTTATACAATGGGTGCAGAAAGGGATAAATTGACGAAGAATTAGAGAAATATATATATATATATGTTTGCGGTATACCATCTTCTCCGCAAGTTTATTGTTTTCTGTTTGGTATTAAATTAATAATTAAGATCCATGTTACATCTCGTGATCAATTTATTTGGCAATCGTCAATGGCAGTCAGCAGGGTTTAAGAACATCAGTTGTTCGACCTGTTAGCCAAATGCGATTTGTTAAAATATACTTTTCACTTTTTTGGTCTTTTGGAAAATGTTGTTTGTGCTGTATTTAGACCCCTCTACCAAGAAATTTGTTTTACATGCACACGTTTAAAAATTACGGTTTTTATCCAACGCAATCATAGGTTTGAACGTTGTTTTCAATTTAGACTTGTATATTGATATATATACAGATACAGAAAAATGTCATGTCCCTTCATGTATAACCCAGGAAGAATTAATACAGAGGGACATAATATACTGACCAGAAGATATCAAAGGGATATTCAAACTCATAAATCAAAGACAAAACAGCGCCATGCGCACAACAGTCTACAAAACACAACAAAGAAAACTTAAGAATGAGCAACACAAACCACATTAAAAACCAAGATTAATTGTTTTTTTAAGTATATAATTTATCTGAACCATTTCAAAATCCCCGGCTGCGATTCTGATTTTTAAGTGTAGATATAGATATTCTGCTTGGTAGACATTACATTGGTAGATATTACATTGGTAGACATTACATTTTTTATCATTTAGATCGTATCTTTAATATTTTGATTATGCTATTTTACCACTTACCTTTCTAATCATGTTTAGTTTACACTTTCATTTGCTTTAAGCTTTAATACCATGCTTATAAATCTGCTTATTACCATGCTTAATAGTAGTGCTTCTTTTTTTATGTAACTTAATTACTGCATGTCTGTTATGTATTATATATAAAAATAAGGAGATGCGGTATGATTGCCAATGAGACAACTATCCACCAAAGTTCAAATGAAGTGGGTCACGGCCACCAAGCAATCATAGAACCATATCGTATAGTCGGCTATAAAAGGTCCCGGCATGAAATATATGAAACAATTCAATTGAGAAAACTAACGGCATAATTTATAACAAAACAATTTACGAAAAACAAATATGACAGACATATTGTATTGTTATGCCTTGTATGTCGGTTAAACGCTCAATAGAGCTTATGTTATGTCCATGTTTGTATATACTATGCCGACTCTAAATAAAATTTATCTATTTCATAGCAGTTAAGCAATCCAATGTAAATAAACCCTGACTATTTGTGATGCTAGGCGTAACTTATATCATATAGTATTATCCTACACTGAAAATTTAGATTAGTCACTACGACTATTCACTCACGACGACAGTTAGTCAAATTCTTCTTCTTCTTCTTTTTCTAAATACTGCCCACACGATGAATATTCTGGCAAGTTGCGCATGATTAAAAACTGGTTAAAAACGAATTGTTGAGTTGATTTAATTAGAGGTTTTGGTCACTTGAGACTTGAATATCTCAAGAGATTTTGCTGTGGCGATATCTGGAGGCAGTTTGTTCTTGTTGTCACAGTGGTAAAATGGACAAAAAATGATTTTGAGACTTTTCGGACATTTTGTAAAAGATTTGTAAAATCACTGTTTTTGTTATATTCTGTCCGAAAAGTCTCAAGATCAATTTTTGTCCATTTTACCACTGTGACACAATCCTTGACGGTCTTTACAAAGAAGGACCATTTCCTACAATCTTTGGTGGCTGGCTGTAATAGGTAAGTATGATGTCCCGTCCGAATAGAGCTTCTTGTTGGTTTCTGTAGGTATTTACTCTTGTCTATGGCTGCAAGGTCATTTGTTATTTTGTTACAGATGATGAGTCAAGCTTCTTTTCGTCTTGTTTGTAAGCTTTTCCATCCTAATTCAGGTATCATGTGGCTGACACTTGATCTATTTCTATGTCTGCTGGTTATGGTTACATATTGTGCAGCTCGTCTTTATATACTTTATCATTTTTATCTATGTGGTATTGCTGGTACGGGTCCCATACTGTCGTGGCGTATTCCATTTGCGGTCTTACTAATATTTTATAGGCATATGCTTGTTGATTGATTTTGAGCTGATGTGGAGGTTTCGATGTAAGAAACCAAGGCTTCGGCTGGCTTTCCAGGTCTTCATGGAGCTATTTTATGGCAGTCGTTGTCTGAGGAAATGGTCAAATAGACAACAGTATCGTCCGCAAACATTTTATTGTGTAGGATAAATTTATATCATGTTTATATTGGAGAAGAGTCATTTCCGAGTTACTCCGCCATGCGTATATAGGTGTACCTAGATTGGCAGAATATCGTTAAGAGGGTCTATCTAGATGGTGGTCCGTAATTTCTGTATTCTTCTTTAAATTTTTAGGGCATTATTCTGTATCTTAAAAAATACAGGGCATTTTTCTGTATCTTAAAAAAACAATACTTATTCTGTAAAATTGTTATGAAAATAATTATACTATCAAATTAGGGACTTATCATTTTTTATCTGGGAGGGGGGGCTGGCCAAAATGCAGGGGGGGGTCAAGTTTTTTTTATGTATGTGGACAAGGGTTTCAATTTTTTTTTAAATTCAAAGTGGGGGGATCAATATTTTTTGCACTTGGAAATAAGTAGTTCACATACTTCAAGAGACAAAATGTCAAGAAGAACATTACATCAGTCAAATCGAAATATATGTTTAACACCATTCATATACAATTAAGTAAGACATCACAAGACTTTGGTGATCTAGGAAGCTGCCATTTTGTGTCATTTTGTCCTATATAAAATGCATAGGTGTTTCATAATCCGAATAATTCAGTTGTTATATTTCACTCACGTCGATCACTAAATTAACAAGCATTATTGCCAATGTATCTTTTTGTTTTCATTACAAGAGCCCTTTGGGTCAATATATACCTCTCACTCCCTCAAAATTTGTACTTTTTAGGCTAATAAATCAAAAATTTGAGGTTACTATCACACATTTTTGAATGAACTGTGACAATAAATGAGTAATTGAATTGTTGAAGCTGAAAGCATGAACTATCCATATAAAAGTTTAACGACTCAATGGAGGTTTCAATAAGGCCATACGTAAAACTTAAGTTTAAGCAGCGTTCAAGAGAGGGACATATAAATAATGTGTTGTTACTGTTTCAAAAAGTTTACTTTTTTATGTATATTTTTTACAGAGTTACTCAGAATCAAGTTTTCTTTAATAGCCCAATATAGGAAATTAGAAAAAAAGTCAGAAAAAGCTACTCAAAGCACTGGCTTGCTCTACCTACTAATATTCATGGAAGAGGCCTCATGGAAGAGCCCTATTTCAAGGCAATTTTCCCTCAAATAAGTTTTGGGACTCAATCCACTGAGAATATTTTATTTTCAATATTTCCTTGAAATAACATAAATGATTTGCATGTTAAAATTTTGGCATGTTTAAGGGCATCCGATACAGTTTCTCGATATAATGTCATTTTTATAATTTTGAAATATGTTGTAGGCCTTGGCGAGTTTTAAAAAAAAACACAAAATAAAACATAGGTCACCGTGCTTGTTTTCGAGAAAATTGAGGCTGAAAATTGGGGATTGGTGCAAATTTGTAAAAAAGTTAGACAATATTATAAAATTTTTTGAGAAGATATTCTTCGTCGTAAATTAGTAAGAATGGGTTCAATCTGAAGCTGTGGTAAGTAACAATAAGGGAAAAATAAAACCCTACAAGAATGATTGTATATTTATTCAAGCCTTGCTTGACATTGCGGACAAGATGCTCAAAGTGGCATATTTTTTAACCGAAAAATATGGAAATAAACTGGTTCTGAAAATGTCATTTTTCTCATTTTTCTTCATTAACTGCATTTTGTCATGCTTTCTCCAAATCTCAAATGAAAAGTATATGTCACCGTGCTGGATTCGAAGATAAACGCAATTAATACTAAAAATTGCGTTCCCCTTTGGTAACCTCGCCATTAGCGCGAAAATGCACGACGTCGCTGGCTGAAGATTTCGACATCTCCCGCCAATTATACCTGCAAGGTCATCTTCGTCGTTTTTAAGGTGTATAATGATTATTTCTCTCTACTTCGAGGGGTGGAAGGGCCATATTCATGAATTTAGGATAGATACATCTAATTTGACGGAGTTTAAGAACAGAAAGTTAAATCGACAGGAAGTCGAGATTTATTCATATCGTGATGCGGAAACTTATTATCTTCATTAGAAATAGGATTTGTTAATTTATTATCGTGAATTGAGATGACATCCTCCTACATGTACCCTCTCCAGACTTGGATTTAGGGGGCAGGGGTCCGGGTAATCCTTAAGGAGCTAAATATATGATAAATATATAAACTTCTTACAAATATCATTCCAATTGGTGACTTTCTATAGTGCCCTCTCTTAAAAAACCACGATCCGCACTTGAGTACTCCTTTAATCATTTTGGTGTTCAGGAGAATTATCAAGTGATTACAAAAAATGAACAATCTTTTTTCCATTTTAATGTAATAAAGTTTTATAGTCAACGGAAACATTGAAAATCGACATAGGAGAATTACAAACCGCAGTCAAGCATATGGTTATGAAGAAAATTATTTGAAACTTTTCATACTAGATCTTGTATACATGATTTGATGTTTTACGCCCAGTTATTCAGAAGCAAAGAAATGTAAAAAGAGAAATGGACGGAAGGACAGACAGATGCACATTCACCTTTTGAAAAGCTACAAAGTGACTATACACTTCATTAGTTGATTAGTGATACATACCTGGTATTAGCTACGATGTTGATGTATGGCTGTTTTATGTCCAGTGGCAAATCAAATGCATTCGTAGAAGGCCGTACGGTGACATATGGTTGTTAATTTATGTCCTTTGGTCTTTTGTGTTGAGTTGTCTCATTGGTATTCATACCACATGTTCTTATTTTTTTAATCAGAACGAGGAAATGTTAATGCAATATGAGTGTTAACCATGCTTTATACTATAGACAGACATGCACTATGGGCCGTTCTAGTTTTAACGTTCTAGTTTACAAAGTAACCGTACAGAAGAAGACATGTCACCATAGCCTTACATTTTAACCTGAATCCAAGTTTACTAGTTTTACTTACTCCTTGCCGCGTGCTTAGCGGAGAAGCAGCAAATACCAATATTAAAGACTTTAGTTTGATCCGGCCAGGAGCCTGTAATCAATATGAACTAATGGGTGTGTACGTTTTTTTTATATTTTCTTTCCAAACAGATACAAAACTTATAGAATTATGCCGCGTGTCACAAACACAAGACCAAACAATCCACGAGAAAATATTAGCTTAAATATTCTTTAGCTATACACCATATGCATATTAGTAAACTCCTCTTCCGTCACGGAATTTTCAAACGTACACCTTTTGATTTTGTATGAATACTTACTGTGTATATATAGTAGCACAATTATATTTGATAACTTATTAAAATTACCCTCCCGCATGTTGATCGACTTACCAACCTTGGACTATTTAGCATTTCTATACACACTTGTACTTTACCGACAAGTCTTCTCATGATTAGTATAAAAAGCAAACTGCGACTTTGAGATGAAGAACAGCAATAAAAGCGCTGTTCCTTTGCTTTTAATGGGTTTTTTTACTGCGCATGTGCTGATTTTGTGATGGATCATTAATTCCCCGTATCCTTTGTTTTTTTTATTATTTATTGTTCTAGAATTATTTGGGTTCTTTTTTAAGAAAAAAAAGTAAAACAACACGAGAAATAAATGTGTTTATACATTTATCAGTACAAAATATTGTATGTACTATAAACGAACAAAGATCATTCAAACAAGATTTATAAGTTATCAGTTACTATCAAAGAAGCTGATTCCTTTTTCTTTTTACACATTAATAAAAGCACAATACTTATATATTTTCCCTAAGAAACAAATCAAAATTACATTATTTTTTCTTAACTATATATAAACTAGCATTCCTTTAAAAAAAGGCGATAAAACTATTTATTGGAGAATTACGAACTGCAAACGCATTTTGTTAACATGATTAATTAAGATTATCTGATAATGTTCATCAATTTTCAATGACTTTGTGATTACAAAGCTAAATTTTGTAAAAATAGATGATAGTTCTAAAAAATGTTTGTTATTTGAATGAATAACTAAGAATTCCAAACAATGTTTTTTTTCAATTACTTATTATCGTAATATCCAGTTATTTTTTTTATGACGGCCGCTGTTTTCGTAACACGAGGTGAACCGTCCTGTCTTCTTTGAGATAACAAATCAAGTAAACCCTGAAAGCCTTTTCTATGAAACGCTAGATCCAGATGACATTTCTTAAGACCGGATTGGGCACATCTTACAGCCATCTGAGCAGACATATATTTTCCCTTAACAAGATCTCCAAAACTCTCAGCATCAACCTTTACGATTGTATCATATTTCATGTTTTCAGCAATCGATTCAACGCTAAAAGAAAATTCAAGTACATCTTGTTTCCCTACTTTTGAAATAGTCATTAACTTATGTAAGGAATCGACATCATCAACGGCATTATGTGCATTGTACTTTTCATTACAAAAATGTTCAAATAACTTTTGCTGACTGTAGCTATTTAGGCCTGGAAATTTTTGCCGGAAAAGCGGAAGCGTGTCGGCGAATCCAAAAACAGATTTCCTGAAAGCTGCATAGCAGGTTAGTTTGGACATGTTATTAATCAAACGCCTTGCATCAAATAATTTGCAATTATGTGCAACAAGCATGACCTGACCGTATTGTTCTAACCAAAGTACAAAACTCTGGAAAGCTGATTCCGAAGTAACTGCATGAACAGGTTTTCCATTGTAAAAAAGGATATTTCCATTTGCTGTTAAACCAGTAACAGCACTGGAACTCGGCGCTATTGATTTATTCGGCTGAATATACGTATCAAACTTATCACCAGAGACTATGTTTAGTGCAGCTATTTGCAGAATTTCGGAATCTAATTTCAGCGAAGATGTTTCCAGGTCAAAAAGTATGCAACTACCAGTAAAAGATGAAAAGGGCAATAATGCTGGTTTCTGTTTGATTCCCGGGATCTCTTTATCTTCAGTTACTAAACTAAGAGACAATCCAGATTTATAAGTAACACCCTCTTTTTTTTCTGTCTGTATTAATTTATTCCTAAATTTCTTCTTTTCTAAACGCCGCTTTTTTACAATTGGTTGCTGGGAGTACTTCCGTTTCCGTTTTCTCTCTTTTGACAATTTTTCAGAATGGTTATTAGTGATTGCATCCGTTAAAAGGTTAGCTTGTGTATTTATGCATGAAATATAAGAATACCCTATATTTTTTTGCAACACTGCAGCGCTCACCCGTGTTTTCAGATTTTCGCTTTTACTGAAACAAAACCGTTTAGGTGCTTTAGATGCATATATATTGTTTGTAGATTCAACATCCTTTGTTGATCCAGCCGGTGCTAGACGTTCAGCATTGTTAGCGACTGTGTCAAATATGATTTGGACGTCTTGTCGTAAAGCATCATCCGTTAGCGGTTTACCATGAGGGAGATATTTATGAAAATTATTTTCAATGCTTTTATTGCACCAATTGCCACATTTGTCATGAATACCAAATGAATGTGGAACAATTGCTGTTAATGTTTCTTTGAGCTTAGTTGCATTGTTTTTATTCTGTTGAATAGCATATGAAAAACACATTTTGTAATATTCTATGATATCTGTACTCAGTGTTTTGTGTTTAGATTTCAAATTATAAAAAGCATTACCGAGTGATTTTGTTGAATGGTTGATATCGCTCCATTTTTTTACCTCGTGGTCCAAAGCTTCTTTTACCCTAGACAAAGTAGCTGAATCATCATCCATAATAAGCACATCAACAGGAACCCCAGAAACTTCTTCAATATTTTCCATCAGTGATGCTCCTGTTGACGATTCCATGGCTTTTGCGCTTTTTGACCAATTCTTTTGACAGTTGTGTGGTTTTGCGTCTAATTTGGCTTTCTCAGCACTGTGACATATGGCGCAATGTGTAACACGAAGGTCATAATCTAATATTTTCCCAGTAAGCTGACCAATTGCTGTTCCAACGCCCGACGAACTACTGTACGAGCGACCTGATCCCCGCTTCTGCCAACACATATCATACTTTACTGACAATCCTTTTCCTGGAGTTGCAATTCTTAAAAGATAATTAATTTTACATTATTATGTTTGATTATATTGGTTTTATAATTCTAATTATAAATTCTACGTAGTATATAAAAAAAGACTAGTATTGTCAGCAAAACCGGATGTAGCGGCAAAATCGTTTAATGCCAACTATGAGCTACGTGGAGTTTTTAGGGATTGATTGATTGATGATTGCTTGATGTCCAGTGGCAATTATTTCATGCATATTCAAGACGATGTACTTTTAAAGTGCTTCGTACAGGAATAAAGGGAATCTGTGTATAGGCGACAATTAGAAGTGAACCCAACAACTTAAGACATCAACTTATTTCTTGACCAATTCCAATGTGGTAAAATTCAAAGTCTTGATTTCTTAGGGTTATTTAATGTGCTGAATCTAACTGTGTACTTTTATTTTGGAATTTCGGCCCGTTCTTTAATTGGTCCTCCTTTAATTCCAAAATTAAACTTTATTTGATTTCTTCAAAAACCGAATTCTTGGGGTTATTTGATATACTGATTTTAACTGTGCATTTAAATTTTTGTTCGATTTTAATGATTAAAAAAAAAGATGAATGCAATGGTTATTTTGATATGCTGAATCTAAACTCTTAAAAATAATTCCGGCCCTGTATATGCATAATTACCTTGTTTCTGAACATTCCTTTGTAATTGCTTCATGACATGAATCTCGTGCTACATCTACCATTGGTTTAAACAGCTCGCGTTCTCTCTTCTTCATCGTTCTTTCAGAACTACCAGGGACACCCATTATTGTCATAAGTCTGGAAAGCTGACGAACACCTATGCCAACATCTATCATTGCTAAAATTTAAATATCCATGTATAGAGGTATATACATAAATTAGATTATAGTCGACTTAATTCAAATCAAAACATCAATAAAGCTGACACTGGTATACTTATTTACAGATACATTTTCATCACGAGTTCGGAATACTAGACTAAGTATCCTTGGTTTTGAAAACGGAGGAGGACGGACTGACGAATAAAACGAAAATAATACAGTTGATTCTGTTATTTTTCTTCTTTGGGGAGCATAACATCGTCCTATAAATTTCAGAAAAGAAGAAATTGGTATAAAAATGAAAGATCTGTTGGTATATACAGGAACCTTTTTTGTTGGAAATTGTATATGGGTTTGTTATAGGAAATCTATTTCGATGTTCAGTCGCCGATATTACAATGTAAGGGCAGTATGATTTTATACGATTCGGTTTGGTGTTTTGCTTTCTGTTACCGATTTTACATATAATAAAACTATCTTAACCTCGTCACGGGTTCATGCAATAAGTAAGAAATATCGCAGGTACTTGTGGATTTTTTTAATTTCTTAGATTAATTGCAATTTAGAGCTAGACATACTGGTACTGTAATAGTAAAAGTTACACACGCAACTCAGATTGGCGAAGACATTAGGAGGAATTTCCGGTGATTTTTTTCATTAGTTATTTAGTTTTTTTCTGTAAATTGTTTTAGTTGGTAGGATGCTGTCTCTTTCACAAACAGCACAGTAGTTTATCACTTCGAATTTTGGTTATTGAGGCCATCACGAAATCGTTGACCTTTATGGAATATATGTAGAAAGCTCAAATTAAAGCCGTTATATTATGAGCTTTGTATAGATTGACTACATACCATTGTGACCGCTTCCTCTCATTTTAAAGAATAACATGCACTATTATAAAGACGTAGAAGCTGATTTGTTCGAGAAACATTAATTCGGGAATCGTTTATACTAAATATTGTTCCAGTGTTGTTTTTAAAAAAAATATTTAAAGAATGGAATCGCAAGAGAATGAGCAACTAAGATATATCAATTCAAGAGCTCTATTATTAAATTACCTAATGCTGCTTTTGTGTTTACATCATACACCTGTGGGCCACGTTTTCCATGTACATGTGTTTCACTGGTCTCAATCTTATTAACTTGCCCGCATTCACATTGTATAAACAAATGGCTTGCATACCCCATATTTTTTTCTGATGTAATGTTTATCAGAGCAAGTGCCTCCTTGCATTGTCGACAAAAGAGCTGTTTGGCTACATAAAATAGATCTATCATTCTTCTTCCTTTTTTCCATGACTCCTCATCAACTGTGACCGTTTCTGTTTTCGCTAGTTTTATAACATGCTCTGATAGACAATTATTTGACGTTTTCTGCTTCGACTGTTTCACTTTTTCTCGTCTCTCTTTCTCTCTATGGCTAAGAAAGTGCCCGGAGTTTACCATTTTTAATGGCGGTTCCTGCAACCTGTTCAAGTTACAATGACGTCATGGCATTCAAATGGGAAGGAGAAGTTTATTAAGGAAAATTACACGCATGACGTCCCGCCGAAAGTAACGTTTTTGGGAATTTGAACGTTGAACGTCGCGCCAAGAGTTACCTCCCTTGAAACTGTATCGGATGCCCTTAATAGAGGGGGGAATCACATTTTTTAAATGTTTTTACAGGGGGGATCAAATAAAAATAGTGAAATATTATGGGGGGATCAAGAAATTTTGTATGTATGATTTCAAAATGACCAGCCCCCCACCTCCCAGGTAAAAAAAATGGTAAGTCCCTTATATGATTTCTTTATTCTGCACATCGTTCATTTCTCCCCTCCCCCGGCTTTCTCATTCTTTATTTTTTTTGGATCAGTATTCTCTATTCTATAAAGCTATATTTTATAGCTATACAAATCCTTGATCCAAGTTAAGACCCTCTATTATATGTGATCTCAGGTGCGAATACACAGTGTGCGAATACTGACGCCTATAAAAATATTACTGATGATAGATCTATTCTCAGTACTGTCTATTCTATTCTGTTGCCTTCCTACTATGATCCATATTGAACTCACGTCAATCTTCAAAGACAATATTATTTCATTGGATGATTTAACTTAAATCTAAGTAGTCTATGGGTTCATTATCATTAATTTGTGCTTAATAAAGTTGAGTAATTTAAATGCAATTTAGAAAAAACGCGCCGTTCAACTTTTGCAGTATAGCGTAGCCAATAAAAGATGTTGTTACAAACTTCCTTGATCTAATTTGTGTAACCAATCAAACATCTCCACGTTTATGAACTTCATCTGTTGACCGGCGTGAGGGATTTGGAACGCTTTTAACTTGGAACACCAGAAATTACTGGTAAAATGTCTTAGAATAATTCAAATTTGAAATACTTTAATATTTAATTCCCATTTTCATATCTGTTTGAAACACCAGCTTACCTTGAAAATGCCCCAAACCTTCATTATTTGTAGACAAACGATAAAACAGAATAAATGGGGAGGACGAATAATCATGACATGCCTGATTTTCCAGACCATACATTAGGCCCTAGTCAGTCTTAACACTTTGCCACATCCCCACAAGATCCGTCTTGTAAATTTTCCATTGGTCCTGTAAGAATTATTTTACAGCCCAATAGAAAATACAAGATTTTCTCTAAATTATATCAAAAATCGCAAGGATTTTGCTGCAAAAGTTATCTTGGAAGACTGCATTAGTCCTATAGATAATAAGGTCTGGGCTTCATATCTTACATTCAGCATGTACTGAAAGAGAAATGATAGTCAAACATTGAATGAAGATTTGTGGAGGGCAATAGTTAAAAACTGAGATGGTTAAATCAATGACATAAGATTGCAAACACCATAGTAATGGACTATGTAACATGCATCTTTTGTTTTTGAATGTTAACTGGATATATTAAACTACAAAATGAAATTGGAATAACAAAACTAAATTTTTCAGATTATTAAGCTGCAGTTAATATTCGTCACATGTATTTACTTTTGCACTTGTAAAGTGATTTAATTTGATCAATGACAATGTTTTGTTGTACTCTAGTTATTTGCCGTGAAAAAAATGGCGTTTGCTAGCAAAACAAAAACAAATTTTGACTATCATAGTGCTTTTATTTAACAATGGTGGGGATCAATTGACGATGGCCGAAGGTAATTTAATGATGTCAGTGCACCACCATAAAACAGATCAGGAAAATCTCTGAGTCCTTAGTAGGTATTGATGACCATAACAAAGTAAAATCTTTAACAATTTAAAACATTCCAATATATTAGTAATCATTTAAATCTGTTTCTTTTTTCCAGAATGATGAAGCTTAAGAGTATTTTCCTGTTATTTTTATCACTTGGACTTCTCCATGTCAGCATCTGTGATACCGAAGAGGAAGACACTGATGATGACACAACTGTTGAAGTAGAAGAGGAACCTGTTGTTGTAGAAAAAGTAAAGTTCTTTGTTTTTGTTTCAGCATAGGACCTTGGATATCAATGTATTATTAAAGTTAAGGCAAAAAAAGATATAATTCTTTTGTTTCCCCTAACATGATAAAAATAGATAGGGTTGGTTGATAGGGAAATTTTTAAAACTTCATGATATGTATACAATAAGAACATATTTTATTACCAATTAAGGGCCCAGACGTGGCATATAGAACATACATGTATAAGGAAAAAGAACATTGATTAGCATAGATACATAGAATTTAAATACACAATCACAATACATTTGTATACAATTAGCATGATTAAACTGTAACAAAGCCCTCGGTTTATAGTATATAATATAGTTACATGAAAAATAAATAGATCTAACTCATATTGACTTTAATAAATTTTCCAACAGCATTAAGGACCTGATTGTCTTCACAGTTTAATAAATAAATGAATTTTTACTGATTGTCTACATGGTCTAGTATCAGTGTTCCAGCTTGAATCTCAGGGCAGAAGGGTGCTAGTTGTCTGAAAGGACACTTTAGCGTTATAACCCAGATTTCAAGGGCAATGTTGGACAGTGTATTAAATTACCTTGAATATTGCTAGGCTCAGCTGGAGAACATTAGTTCTATTTAAACCATATTCAGAAATTAATGTGTTCTTGATGTTGGTTCCAGTAAGAATTTTTTTCCATCAAATTATCATACCATGAAGCAAAGCATATCATTTTGATGTTAATCTAAACAAACTTGTACATTTGGTATGGAAAATAATCATCAGAAATTTCAATGTTTCATAACTTATACCAAAATAAACAAGTAGTTTTGAAAGATGGAGTTATACATGCAAAATTGAATGTTGAATGTAATTAAATTATCTACATTTAAATTACTTGTTCAAACATATAGTATATATGTTATTGAGAGTTATTTATTATCATTTGAATTGTTACAAAAAAATATTTTTAAGTGCACACCAAAGTGCTCCTCAGTAAGGAGTTTTATAAATATAACAGGTGAGACAGGAGATAATCATATTTTATATTGATGCAATTATATATTGCAAAAGGTATAAACAGTTACTTTTTTCTCCATCATTGTTAAAAATAACTTGTTGAGTGCTCCTATGTCAGGAGGATTATAAAATACAAGAAGCATTAAAAACAGGAAGTGAATCTTGTTATGTTCAAAGTACAAATTTCTTTGATTCCTCTTTAAATTTCATACTCATGGTTATGAAACAAAACATTTTTTACCAATTAAGTCAAAACTATGTATGCCTTTAAAATTGTTTAAGATTTTATTTTTTTGTGATGCCTACTGAAATAAATTTTTTCAGGTGTACATGCTGTACATAAACATTACAAATGAGGATAACATGTGGACATTTCATTCTGTATTAAATATCTAGTATTTGTTCAATTATCTTAAATCCACTAATTAGCAGTAAACAATCATTAACAAAGGTGATAAAACTGCCAAAGCACTAGGTATTTAACTTAATCCCATTGTCAGTTAATTAGTGTTACACAATCAGGTAACAATTTTACCGGAAATGCCGGTAGGCATGAAAATTGAAAATTTTATTTTTTTGAAAAGGCAGAGGGGTGCATTCTTTTACTTTGGAGGGCAGAAGGGCGGGGGTAAGGGCACCAAGGGCGGGCCGCCCTTCTATTTAGGGCAGGCGGGAACACTGAGTATAGAAAAGTTTGGATTTTTTTGGCAAACAAAATCAAAGAGAGCATCTATATTTTTCACATGAAGTTAAATATGTCAATTTCTAAAAGTGCTTCCATGTCAACATGCTTTACTGTGTAAAGGATTTAAAGAATAATTTCTATTCAGCTTCCTGTTAAATTAATACTTGAATGGAGGTATAATTAGTGAGCAATAGCTAACAGTTCTACTTGTTTCATTTAATTTATTAAAGCATCATGATTCTAGTGTGAAGTCTTCCATACTAGACCACTGTGTCATTATAGAATGCAATAGTAATTAATATGTTTTATTATTTGAAGGTTAATTATGTTCCTCCAGTGGTAAAAGGAAATACATTCTTTACAGAAACATTTGATAAACCAGCAGATTTTGAGAAAAGGTTTGTAGAAAAAAGAAGTTCTATAATAGATCTATGAAATTATTTAAAAATATAATAAAAGATATATTGGATATTTTGTCAATGTCCATCAGGGAAAATTACATGTACGCATACAGCTGGGAATAAGGATGTGTTGCTACAATTAAAAAAATGTCCTGAAATGACCCATTATCCTTCATCAACCAAAAGGATGTACATAATACTGTAGAGAAAAATTCCTTATGTAATTAGGTAAGGTCATGATTCCTAAAAGATTTCACAAAAATGTCCCAAAAGACACAATTAATTTTTGACAGAAAGAATAAAAGATGTTCCAAACAGATATATTCATATTATAAGGTCTATATTGCACAACAAAGAAAACAAAACATATAATCATAATCTGCAAATAATCATCAATGCAATCAGGTGCAAATAATTGGTGTAGTCCTGACTAAAATGAAATTATTATATGACAAGTATTTGTAAAAGTTTTTGAACACTATTCTGTTGTTTAAGGACTGGTATTAATCTAATGGAGACCAATTCTCTTGATTTTTAACAAATCCACAAAGTGTGATACCCCAGAAAATGCATGTATGATCCTGAAACCGTTGAAACAAATGGTTATTTCACAATCTACAATATTTGAATAAAAGTCATATTCACCTGTGTAGGTCGATATACTGTCATCTACGAAAGATAAAGTGTCTAAACAATATCAAACCAATATAAAAAAGTTGTGAATGAATAACAACAATTATTTTAATTTTGACATTTTACAGATGGACCAAGTCACAGACTAAGAAAGATGGTGCTGAAGAAACTATAGCCAAATATGATGGTGAGTGATAAAAATATAGCCAAATATATTGGCAATTAATAAAACTGTAGCAAATGATGAAATTGTCAACATGTAAAATTTTGCTTTTTTTGTCATAAAAACTATGTAAAAAGTGTTTTTGAGTTTAAAAGCCATCGTTTTATTTTCATGCTTAACCAAATTTTACTCTGCATTGGTCTAGTAGAAATACAAAGTAGGATATATTGATATAACATTTACATATATTTGTCTATGAGTATGCATGTAGGATTTGTTGTTGATCATTAAACAGCCATTAATCAATCAAAATTAATACAATATACATGGTTTCATTTATCAAAAGAAACTTGTACTTTTGTATGGGTTTTTCTCATTGTTAAAGGCCCTACAGTGCTCTATAGTATAGTTGTTCACAATCATACAGCATATTCTTATAATTTAGATTGCTCTAAACTTGTCTACTTGTAGGAAAATGGTCAGTAGAGGAACCTAAAGAAAGTGCTCTGAGAGGTGATCATGGCTTAGTGTTAAAGGTTTGTAATATTTATCATCCTGTGACATGGAAGACATGTCCATTCTTTCAATAATAATTGTAGATACAGTAGAGGTTACCACATACATTTTATCTTCATCAAACTTAGTACTGTGGTTCAACATAAGGTCATGATTCCTATTTGATAATAGAGTCAGAGACAACAGATTATTTACCTGATTGCTTTATTAGAAAAGATATAGTATATAATCTGTCACTGTTGTCAACTTTAATTTTTTTTTTAAATTGCAGATTTAATGGAGACCAAAGGCTTTGGTCAATTGTGGTTCATTTTTTCCTGTAAAAATTATCATATTTTATCCTGTAAATTAAGAATGAAGTAATAAAGATGGCGCCATGGTAGCTTATACCAGTACAGGGGTTCAAATTAGCGGTGGTCCGAGGTCCGTGGCCTTTCATTTACGGGTTCGGACTTTCCCTACGGTAGCTAGTTACACCCGACGGACTTTCGTATATTTGCAGGTTAAAAAGTTACAAAAGCGTTTTGAACAAAAAATATAAAAAATCTAGTATAAAAATAATCTTAAAATATGCAACTTAAATGAAAGAAACTTATGTGTTTGTTTAAATTCTTTGCAATTGATTTGATGTGTAGTCACTTGACTGGTTGTTGTACAAAATACAGGGAAACTCGAGAATATAATGTTAAAATATAACTAGTAAATGGTAGGAGTCTGCTTGGTTTTGGGGTGACCTCTTCAAAAAGAAAACCTGATAAAACGGGGGATACAGCGGAGGTGATTGATGAAAGGGCTTAACGCAGTCCAAAAGACAGGATCTGACTAAAGACCAAGACTAAAAATATGACGGGGGGGAAAAACAAGAACGTAAATCTTCCCCACACACAGTGAAAGGGAAAGTGCCCTGGTTCCCAGGAAAAAAAAACTAATAACTTGACCCAATAAAAAAATCTTGATGAAAAATTACCACCCAGCATCTATATATCTTGCCAAAAAAGTGGTGAAAAGAAACTGACCCCAAGTTTGAAAACGAAGTTGAACTGTTATCTGACTCAAAGTTTAAAGGCAAGTGTGTTCTTAAGCAGCAATTGAAACCAAAACAATTAAAAAGGTACAAAGTGTTATTTAACATAGGGTATAGTGTCGGGGGAAAGGGAAACCCTCTTATTACTGAATTTATCTAAGAAATACAGAAAAAAATGAGGTTAATGAAGTAAGATATGATGAGTGCGTTGGAATGGTAAGCATTTTCTGATTTTATAAATAAAAATTGGACCTTTTAAGAATAAAGGACGACCTTTGAGTATTTTTGGTCAAAGGTCCTGGACCTGCCATTGCCTAAAGTAAATTTGAACCCCTGCAGAATGAAGTAATATAGATAGTGCCATGGTAGCTAACCTCAGAATGAAGTATTATGTAGATGCACCATGGTAGCTAACACCCGAACAAAACTAATTAACTGTTAGTTCAAGTTCTACTTAATAATATCTGAACCAATCAAATTCACTAAGTTAAAAGCATTGTACAATTAAGTCTCCCAAACAATGTTTAGAGGCTTATTGGTTTTGCTCAGTTCTTATTCATACTGACATATGATTTTTTCTTTTTCAGTCTAAAGCTAAACACCATGCCATCTCATCAAAGCTTAACAAACCATTTAGATTTGAAGGAAAACCATTTGTAGTCCAGTAAGTATAGATGTTAAATCATGTCAAATATTAGAATGCAGAGAAGGCATTGAGGGTGTAATTGTTAGCCTGATAGCCTTGATAGTGTTAGGTTAGCTTGTCTACAGCAAGAGTGACACTTTGATTATTAACATATATTTCTAAAATACCCTGTGAATGAATTAGGACATTATTAGGAAAATAAGGCAAATTATTTGCCCCTTGAAGATTTTGGTCATATTGCTCCCAAGGGTTCTTTGTATTTTTACATCCCTGACTTTCAAATTTTTAGGTTTGAGCGTCTTTGATAAAAGGTATAAAATCTGGAAAAGCACATTGGACGCACATACAGTGTTCTTTTATTTAACCCTGAAATGGATCATACAAAAACATTACCCAACAGTATTTTTACAGTAGCTTATTGACTTGAAATTTGTTGGGGTCAAGAAAATAAGTTTTAACTATCAAAAAGGTTTGGCTGTATTGGATGATCGGGTGACATTTTTACTGTGTGACTAAATATACCTACACTTGTATGACATGGAAATGTAACCTATAAATAATATCCAACACTGGACACACAGTCTGAGAGAGTGTTTATTCTCAACCAAAAGGCCAGAGTTTTTTAATTTGTTGATTTACAGATTTTTTATGTGAAAGATTCTGGTTGGTCGTTCAGAAAAAAATATTTTACAAGACATTTATATGTGTAGAATTGCTGTGTACTTCAGCTTTATTGCAATGTTAATATTCTCCATTTTTTGCAAAACTCCTAAATTTTAAGTGCGAAACATATATTTTCTCTGCTGTTTTAAACATACATGCATGTCATTGTCATTTAAGTTTGTGACAAAAGGGTTTTCTGCATTTCAAAATGAACGAAAAAAAAAAAAAAATAGTTTTACATTGCTTTGTATTAATTTTCTCAAAACACCTTGATTACTGAGCTTCAAGCAGGAAAACAGGTGAACATGTTGCACTAAATAAGGGCTATTCCATTAAAATGTATGTGGGAGGGTAGGAAGGGAAGTTTAATTATCGAATGTGGGTCATGGGTCATTTTTCAGTATGCGTCTATTACCATTATGCAAAATTATCTAAAAAATGGTTCTTGGTTGTAGGGATATTTTGAAAGTCCCTTCCAACCCTCCCACATACATTTTAATGGAATAGCCCTAATAGTTAATATCTGTGGAAGACCTGTGCTTAAAGTTGTTCTTATTCTATTTAAGGAAACAATAATTCACCCTTCATAGTAAAAATAAATGGTTGAGGGATTTTGTGTATCCAATGACACTGTCTTACTATCTCATCCACTTTCCTCTCTCTCTTCCTTTTCTCATAAATCTTTAGCATTAAAAAGATGTTTTAAATTTCATTTAAGGAACTTTATTTTTATAACTTTATCATGTTTATGGGTTCTTTCCTTTGTCAGATATGAAGTAAAGTTTCAGAATGGATTAGAATGTGGTGGAGCTTATGTTAAACTGCTGTCCATGGATAAACAGTTAGAGTTGGTGAGTCAACAAGAACATGTATTTATATACTTTAATCAGTAGTCTAGATTTCTAAAGAAAATATGTCTTTACATTGTGATTATACACAAAAATAACACTGGAGGACTTTAAACTTTTCAAAAATACTTTTTTCTTGAGTTTTTTGAATTCCTGTATGAAAAATCTGAATCAAAATCTTGGAGCAGAAGCTATTGTTTCTGAAATCTTATTACTTAATTCAATTTTAAAATGAAAATGGTTTGTTGTAAGTTGTTTGATGTAAAATTGAGAATGGAAATGGGGAATGTGTCAAAGAGACAACAACCCGACCATAGAGCAGACAACAGCCGAAGGCCACCAATGGGTCTTCAATGCAGCGAGAAACTCCCGCACCCGGAGGCGTCCTTCAGCATGGTATACAGGGAAGGCACTTTCAAAAAGGGGTAAACACCTATATAGAGACAAATTTAGAATTTCTCTTCCTTTTTTAACTGTACTTGACATCAACCCATTGCTAAGATTTCACAGTGCCAACCCTGGGTCCTATGTATGCTTTTATGAACCAGCCCTTACAATAATTTTAATTATAAAGAGTTTTTTGTGGCAAAATGATATTAAACAGGGATTTTTGCAGTTGCATGGAATTTCATGGGTAATTTTGATTTTTTTAATCCTACAGGGGAAAAGTTAGACAGAATTCTAAGCATGCTATATTAATTATTATATTTATTTTTTTGTAGAAACAATTCCAAGATAAGACACCTTACACTATAATGTTTGGTCCAGATAAATGTGGTATGGATCATAAGGTAGGTTGTTGACTGACATATACAAAGAGAGATAACTCCTGATAATTGTTAAGTAGAAACAATTTTTGCTACACTTATTTGACTACCTTTTCAAAAATGAAAAAAAATTGATTTTGTTTATATCGTTGTGTTATGTTTTGATATGTTGTTAGTTGTACTCTATGAATTAATAGTAAAATGTGCTCTATATAAAAATAAGCAGATGTGGTATGATTGCCAATGGGACAACTATCCATTATTTATGTTTCCTAATGATAAGTGATATTATTAAAAACTTAAGGATTAAGATGTGAACAATTACAGCTTTCAACAACACTGACTTTATACAACATGATATAATAAGATATAAGCTATTAAAGGCCTGGGATTGCAAAATGTGAAACAATTCATAAGCAAAAAACAACTGGATGTATACTACATCAAGAAATGAAAAACAACTATGGCGGAGAGAAACCCAAGACATCCACTGGATTACAAGATCCTGGCTTGGGGGAACAGGCAAATAAAGATTTTGTCCAGGTTAAATATCTTTATAAGTGCTCAATCTTCCCCTAACCTTGGACAGTGGTGTAACAATACAACAAAAGGACATACTGTAAAAATTAATTGGAAAGTTCTTGACTCATCAGATCGACACAAAGCACAAAAAAAAAAAATAAACAAAAGACAAAAGACACCAAGTACTGATCTAAGAGTTCTTGTAAAAAAAAACCTATTTTGAAAATCAATTTCAACACATAGAAAAATCATGTTTTTCTTGCACAAAAATATCAATTTGTACACCTCTAACAGACCAATAAGTTATACGGATTGTGTCTTAATGTTTGAACTCTGTAAACAACATCACTGTATAAATTAGGATGTATATAAATTATAATGTCATAGAAAAAAAAATGTAAACTTACTCATATTAATTCCATTATAGCATTCTAAGTTTGCATGTATTTTGTTCAGTTGACAACATTCTAAAATTGATTTTATTTTTTCCAGTTACATTTTATATTCAGACACAAAAATCCAAAAACAGGAGAGTTTGAGGTAAGTTTATAGTAATTTCTTTAATTCTTAGCTGATTTAATACTTTTCCTGAACAGTTGATTATTTTTATTAATCAAAGTGTGGTTCATTTTATCTCAGTTTTTCATTGGTCAGACTCATAGTTCAATGATTATGTAAAATTTTCTTGCTTTCCTCTGAATTTCTAATTGTGACTGCACGAAAAAAGGTGACCATACCTGATGATGTCACATAGAAAGAAAACATCATTTTGCAGATCATTGACAAAAAAAGAGTAAGTTTGTCTACACATCTAAAAAATATAAGTGAAACAGATTCCACCACTTGATTTCAGCCAATACCGTATTTCTCTGATGTTTTCATTGCTGAACATAGTGGATTATGTATGGGGATGGGTAAAATCCTAGACAAGCAAAGCATTGTTATGCTAGGTATCTGAATAATAAATCAGGCCAGTAGGTTGCTAGTCTACAGACATACTGTCAATAAAAGCTCTAAAGTTTTGTATTGATTATATATAATGCAAAATTCATATTGATATCATTGCTATGTTGAAATATGGAAAAAATGGGAAAATGTTTCTTTCTTTTTACAAGAAAGGTGACTGTTTCCATAAAATGCTGCAAATTTAGAAATAAATGCATACATTTTTTCTATATTTATGTTGTAAAAAAGTATACTGATTTACAAGATTTATTAGCATTGAAGAGTATACATGCTTGGAATGAAAAGTATAAAGATCGGTAATTCTATCTGAACCCATTGCACTTTTATATCATAATAATTTCTGAATGAACTGTGTATAGCATTTCTCACTTCCATTCAAAGAAAATTATTATGTTAAAATAAGGATATGTTGTTTGATTACTATTCACCAGAGTCCAAATAAATTGGATGTATTTTGCATGATTTATGACAAAACTATAAACAAAAAACAAATATGACAGACAACAACCAAGGACAACCACCATGCTCCTGACTTGTATTTTTATACGTATATTAGAATAAAGAAAATGGCATTGCAACATTTACATAAACTGATTTATACTGCAAGAAGAAAAAAACTGTATAAAATAAATATTTTAAAGGAGAATTATTGAAATTTGTTTTAATTTCCTTCCAATTTAAACAACTTTTTCATCTTTGCTTTTAGGAGAAGCATGCTAAGAAGCCTACAGCCAACATTGACAGCTACTTTACAGATAAGAAGACGCATTTATACAAACTAGGTCAGTGCACTCATAAGTTATAATTTTTCCCATAGAAAGAGTTTTATATGTAGTCTGAGGCCTTAATTTTACAAGAAACATGAGTAAGAGATGTTCCATTAAAACATACATGATACCCAGGGAAGGCACTTTAAAAATGGGGTAACCACCTATAGAGGCAAATTAAAATTTCACTGTACATTTCCACTATGCAAAAACATAGATGACACCCACCCATAGTTGAGATTTGGAAGTGCCTTCCCTGGGTTCCATGCATGTTTTTTATGGAACAGCCCTAAGACATATTTCTTGCTTTTATGGTAGATTAAAATTATTATAAATAACCTCCCCTATATGAAGAAATCTATTTATGAAGATGCCAATTTCAATTTTATAAAAGTGTTAAATTTTAAAATCTTTGCACTCTTCAAACAATCCCTTGCTTAATGAAATATGTTTCAGCCTTCAAAGACTGGTCTATGAAGACCTGTAACTTCAGTATTTGAGCATATAATTTAATGTAACAAATCTTTCAAAACAAAGGAATTTGAAGAACACTATAATTTGGGTTCAGGCAAAGTATTCCAAAGAACTGAAATAGATTTTGCCGGTAAAATTATTTGATAATTTTATTATAAATCTGAAATATTCCCAAGAAAATGATTTAAAACAAAAATTGATTTGATGCATGAGGCCCTCGACTGATGTCATCACATGGAATTGATGTGCCAAGTTGATAAGGATTTGTGTTCATTTGATTATGTTTATGTGATACTCAAGCTAAAATTTCAACCCCCTCTCTAGCCAAAAAAATAAAACACCCTGTAAATATGGAGGAGAAATACAACCCAACTTTTAAGAGACATTTTTTATTTTGGACAGGGTAGAGTTAAATTATTTTTGTAAGTGCAACCCTTCTATTATAATTATCTTTCTGTAGTTGATCAGCATATGGTTTGAGTAGAGCACAGTCCAGAAAAAAAAACCATGTAAATTAAATTTTATCTGAATACAACAGTACAAACAACAACAAAAAATATATAATGAATCCAAGAATGTAATCGAGTCTTTCTTTTCTTATTGTCGAGCCTTCGACTTGAGTCGAAAAAGCGAGACATAGCGATCCTACATTCCGTCGGCGTTGTCGTCGGCGGCGTCCACAAATATTCACTCTGTGGTTAAAGTTTTTGAAATTTTAATAACTTTCTTAAACTATCCTGGATTTCTACCAAACTTGGACAGAAGCTTGTTTATGAACATAAGATAGTATCTAGAAGTAAATTTTGTAAAAATAAAATTCCTGTTTTTCCGTATTTTACTTGTAAATGGACTTAGTTTTTCTGCCAGGAAACATTACATTCACTCTGTGGTTAAAGTTTTTAAAATTTTAATAACTTTCTTAAACTATCCTGGATTTGTACCTAACTTGGACAGAAGCTTATTTATGATCATAAGATAGTATCCAGAAGTAAATTTGTTAAAAAAAAAATTTCTTTTTTTCCGTATTTTACTTAAAAATGGACTTAGTTTTTCTGCCAGGAAACAATACATTCACTCTGTGGTTAAAGTTTTTAAAATTTTTATAACTTTCTTAAACTATCCTGGATTTGTACCAAATTTGGGACAGAAGCTTGTTTATGATCAAAAGCTAGTATCTAGAAGGAAATTTTGTTAAAATTTGTACCTGTTTATCCCAGGGCTTCCAAAATATATCTGAGCCAGCCGGACATTTTATATCTTATCCCGATTTTAATCCCTTAAGACTAAGTCACAAAAGGCAATTATGGTAATCAGATGGCCATCCCAATGATTGACATTAGATTAAAAAAAAACGATATTAAACTTTACTTTGATGTAAATTTGATGTTCGGACGTAACTGTTAAATTGGCAGTGCATAATTCGAAGTGTAAAATTGAGAATGGAAATGGGGAATGTGTCAAAGAGACAACAACCCCACCATAGAGCACATAATACATCAGCGTGCTCATAATTGCCTTAGACTCTTTATTTGTGCAAAATTACGTTGTCAAAAACTTTACTTTCAATTTTAAAATCACATTTTCCTAATACCGGATGTTGACCTGACAATGGTAAAACATGGACCAGAAACAGATACGTAAAATCCGTGTACGTTTACAAAGCACGACTGAGTGAATAAGCTCTTTCCACGTTATTTCTTCAACAAAATACTTGAAATGAACGTTAGATACAGGTATCAATGATAATTTTTATCATTTTTTAAGAAATGTAGGATGCATAATTAAATTTCCCGGCTGCGCACATGCACACACATGTTCTAGTTCATACAACGCAGTTCTTACGATTTTTATTTTAAAACCTTTTTAAATTTTTCATCAAATCATGTTTATAAACGTATTTCTTATAATTGCAATCTTTTGGACTAAATCAATTAGATAGAAACCGCTGAAATGTAAGAAATTAACTTTGAATAGACCGATCAATTTATACGATGTCCAGTACTGGAAATAGTTTACCTGTCACCTGAACAGGTAGATTTCAGCAGAGACATATAATACATTGTATTATATGTCTCTGATTTCAGCTGTCCAACAACTAATTAGCCTTGATTAAAATTAGAAAGTATTGAAGTAGGGGTTGTTTTGATAGTAATTAATCATCATGTCACTTTTATGACCGGAAATGTGTGGCTGTTAAAGGCAAAAATTGGGTCAAAAAGATCGCGAATTATGCTAAAATGACCGTCTCTTAAGAAAGCCTTGACAACTAAAAAGTAAATGACCGTTTCATGCTTTGCCCAGCCGGAATTTTACCGGACATTATACAATTGTCCGGAATATATTACCGTTTTGGAAGCCTTGGTTTATCTGTATTTTACTTATAAATGGACTTAGTTTTTCTTCCAGTTAACATTAAATACAGTCTGCAGTTAAAGTTTTTAAAACATTTATTAGATTCATAAACTATCCTGGATTTATACCAAACTTTGACAGAAGCTTCTTACAATCAAAAGATAGTATCTAAAGGAATATTTTTATTGATTTTTTTCCTCATTTTTGTTGAGCCTGCAATTAACAGCAAAAGTAGGCGAGACACTGGGTTCCGCGGAACCCTTACAAATTTTTTATAGTTTCAAAATAACCAGAAATCAATTTACCTCTAAAAAATAAATGTTAAATTCAGGTAAAAAGAAAAACAGAGTTATTTTCAGATTGAATTGCTTATAACACGTTTTTCACACATGTCAATTTTTTTAATTTCAGTTGTAAATCCTGACAACAGTTTTGAGATATTTGTGGACAATACCTTAGTCAATGAAGGAAGCTTATTAGAAGATATGAGGTATTATTACAGGCATATGTAGCAGCCATCCAAATAAATATTGTGGTCAGAATACATAACTGGTTTCCTGTTGTCAAAAATATACATTTTGGGTCAGAAATTATTGCCTGTATATTTTTGTTCTGAATGCTTGTGAGCTGTTTAAGATTTAAGAACATGGAAGGGGGCACTCTTTTTTTAGACCACAACCACCCATAACATAAATATTCATTTTCTTATTCTTACAAAATTTTAAAGAAAATGCAACAATCTAATTTGAGTTCCTCCTATCCCCCCATGCCTATAATTTTGGAACAGCCGTATCAAATTTCTAGAGTCTACGGGGGTATTTAGTTACTATATTTGTCCTTTTTAAGTCATTGTAATTTAAAAAAAAGTTGTCAAATTAAACTTAAATGTAATGTGGTATTGTAGAATATTAACAAACTACAATTTCAAGATTCGCTTAGGTTGAGGAAAAGAACTAAATATATAAAAAAAAGAAAATCACAAATCAATTTTGCTGTGTTTATAATAGCTTACAGTGAGTAAATAATCCTCAATGAAGTTCCATGATTGAACCTGTGAAAAAGGGGTTGGAGACTGCAATTTAAGTTTAATTTGACAGATGGATGACATCAGCTGGAAGAATCATGTTATTAGAATTGACAAAGAAAATAACGAGGATATTGTACATACCTTTAGGTATCTCCATGATGAGATTAAAGATTCTATGGAAAGTTGGGATTTGCTCAAACTTCCTTTTTTCCCTTGCTAACAATGATCTATTATATTTCAGTCCACCTGTTAATCCACCAAAGGAAATAGATGATCCTAATGACAAGAAATCTGATGACTGGGATGAGAGAGAAAAGTAAGTCATTTTATATCTAATAAACCCAACTCAGATACCAGGACAAAAATCCTACACGCCAGACACACGTTTTGTCCACAAAAGACCCACCAGTGAAGCTCAAATCAAAAAAGTTAAAAAGGCCAAACAAAAAAACTAATAGGGCATCCTGTTTCATGAGTTTGTTCATCTTAACAATTTGGGCCTCAATGGCCAATTGGTCTAAGTAGTTTAATAATGTGACCACTAGCTTGTCAACATTGAGGTTGTGAGTACGAATCTCTCTGATGGCAAGGTGTTTGGCTGTGATCTTACTTGACTAGAATTACCAGTTATCTGCTGAATTTATTTGTTGTCTTTGGGTAAGAAAACAAAAACACCTCTTTAAATGAAAAAAAACAACCCATGATTTGGATGTCAAATCAACAGGATACTGGTTTTACATCATTCACATTCAAATTGTGTCCCTTTGATCTCACTTCAGCTTCTTTTGAGTCGAAATTTGATTGACTCAAAATTTGATCACAGTCACATAAGTTTAGAGATGACAAGAGTAGACTGTAATGGCTGTTTGATATCACCTAGAAATCAATCAATGTTTAATGTTATTGAAAAAGAATCCTTTTCTTTTGTTCATAGGATTCCTGATCCAGATGCAGTTAAACCAGAAGATTGGTAAGTCATTTATACTTTCTTTTCTGTAAAAGAGTGAAAGGTATTGAAATGTTCACCTATCAATGATCATGAGTTCTTCAACAATATGGAATTAAATGTTCATGCATACAGCAAGTTGACATTATTATAAAACAAATCAGGTATGTTCCAGAAAAGTGCTTAAATAATAAAAGAATGAGGGTGGTTAGTGTTCAAATGACTTTTTAGAGAACCATTACTTGTATTTCTTACTAAGTTTACATGGGTTTTGGTTTTTAAAGTGTTTTTTTTTTTAAATTCAACAGATACAATCTGATTGCAACACAAGATTCTTCAATAGATAAAATTACACATAGGGACAAATACAACCATTTATGATAGTTCTTACTTTGGACAGGCACATTAACTTGTGTTGGGGTGAGGAACAAACTATGTTAAAATAAGGAGATGTGGTATGATTGCCAATGACTGAATGAGACAAATATCCACCAGAGACCAAATGGTGTAGTATAAGTTCTTTAATCTATTCCTGTTATCTTCATTAATGGAAGAATAAAAGAAATCAGTAAAAGAACAGTTATAAAGATATTATCGAATATGAAAACACAACTGAATTAAAACCAAACTATAAGATAGTGTATATACATGCTTGTATTTTGTACAGGGATGAGAGTGAACCAGAGTACATTATTGATGAGTCAGCTACTAAACCTGATGGATGGTTAGAGGATGAACCAGAACTTATTCCTGACCCTGATGCTGAAAAACCAGAGGATTGGTTAGTATTAGTCTTCATTCTATACAAACCTATGGATTGGTCAATTTGAGTCTTCATTTTATAAAACACAGAACTGATCAGTTTATGTCTTCATTCAATAAAAACCTGAGGATTGGTCAGTTTAAGTCAATCTGATTAAAATAGAGATCCAGTGTTCCAGCTTTCTTGTAGTGTTCTGACAACACTCGTTTTTATGCCCCATTTATGGGCATTATATTTTTTTGGTCTGTGTGTCCGTTCGTCTGTTTGTTCGTCCGTCTGTCCGTCTATCTGTCACGCTTCAGGTTAAAGTTTTTCAGGTAAAAGTTTTTGGTCAAGGTAGTTTTTGATGAAATTGAAGTCCAATCAACTTGAAACTTCCCTATGATATGATCTTTCTAATTTTAATGCCAAATTAGAGTTTTGACCCCAATTTCACGGTCCACTGAGCATAGAAAATGATAGTGCGAGAGGGGCATCCATGTAATATGGACACATTCTTGTTACTTTCTGTTCTGGTAATAATTACAGCAGCCAATGAAATTTCAGCCTTCAAAGCAAAGGATATCAAAAGGTCTTTAAAACTGAAAGTAGAACAAAGTGTTTTTCAGGTCCTTGTAAGCACAGCTTGGACACAGGACCTGTATTTTAATCAAATTGAGTTTAATGCTTCATTCTATAAAAACCTGATGACTGGTCAGTTTAAATTTACTCTATAAAAACCTGAGGATTGGTCAGTTTAAATTGACTCTATAAAAACCTGAGGATTGGTCAGTTTAAATTTACTCTATAAAAACCTGAGGATTGGTCAGTTTAAATTGACTCTATAAAAACCTGAGGATTGGTCAGTTTAAATTTACTCTATAAAAACCTGAGGATTGGTCAGTTTAAGTCATTATTCTATAAAAACCTGAGAATTGCTTACAATCGGGGATATTGTCAAAAAATATACTTTTTGTAGTTTTTACACAAATCTTTGAGACATTCTCAATTTTATTGTTATATTAAAACTGTTTTGGTTTTTTAGAACAATTTTCTCAAGAAAAAAAAAATAATTAGCTTTACTAAAATAATCTTATTTTATTGCTTTTTAAGTTTATATGTATGTTTTATAAATATTATATCATTACGACCAAACAACACTGATGAAGGCAATTTCTTGTGCCAAAATACTTGTTTTTATCTTTTCCATTTCTTTTAAAGTATAGTAGCAGAAATGTTTTTATATATGTATGTTATATACAATTGATATTTACAGGGATGAAGATATGGATGGTGAATGGGAGCCTCCTCAAATAGGTGAGTACAGATTAGGCCTGTTTTCATACAACATTGTTTGTTAACATTTCACCCTATATTTGTTCCTACCTTCAATGAAAATTAGTAAAAACAGATAGTTGGTTAGCTGAAGTAAAAGAACTTACTTCACAAAATCAAGTTGATTATAATAATATATGTAACAATTAAAATGTCAAAAAAACAAATCTTCCTCACTACCCTCTGTACTATTTTTAGCAGTATGGACAATTACACACAGCATTCATGTTGATACATCTAACTGGTTAACTGTAGTTGCCATCTACACTGCTACTTTTGCATAGGTACTATTTCTGTACTAAAAACCTGTAGTACTGGAAACTTACTTTTAATATTAAGTACTATTTCTTTACTTTAAAATTCTTGTAATATTTAGGTACCTGTATTTTACAGTACTTGATTTGTACTTGAAATTTTTGGTACAGAAGTAATACCAACAGTGATAACAATATTCCATGTTTGAAAATCATAACTTTAAGAGATTTGAAATAGACAAACTTTCAAAATGCTGAAAATGTAACGGTGTAACCAAAATTTTGTAGTACTTAAATTTCAAGTACATATCAAGTACTGTAAAATACAGGTACCTAAATATTACAATAATTTTAAAGTAACAAAATAGTATTGAATATTAAAAGTAGATTTCCAGTACTATAGATTTTTGGTACAGAAATAGTACCTATGCAAAAGTAGCTGTGTAACTAACTCTACATCATCTGTATTATTGTACAGACTTTATGTCAGATCCAACTGTGTACAATATCAATCAACTAGTTAAAAGATGTTTTTTGCACGAGTTTGAATGGAACACACTGTCAAGAAATGAACTATTGAAACTTGATTTTGTTTATTAATTTTTGTAGATAATACAAAATGTAAAGATGCTGTTGGTTGTGGCAAATGGGAGAGACCACAGGTGAAAAATCCCAAATATAAAGGAAAATGGAGGCCAGAAATGATTGACAACCCTGATTATAAGGTTTGTAGTGTGGTAATGATTTAGGTTTAGACAAGGTTTGTAAGGCTGTAATCATTTAGGTTGTTCCAGACATGGATGTTAAGCTCAGTTGTCATTTCAGAATAACAATGACGAGTGGTGATTGTTTCTTAAGTAATTCCTAGTCCTAAAATTAAAAGTTCCTTCCATTTTAACTATGAAAACATTTATGTCCACATGTAAAGGTGTTGCTGTTATAATTTATGTTGCACCAGATTCCACAAATGTTATTAATAGAATTATCACCAAATGTATTTTTATCTATGATAAATGTTAAATTACATAAAGCAATTGAAGTGAAGTATATTTTATATACTACTCCGTTTAGATATTTTTTGTTTGTACATGTACTTCTGATTTCAGATTTTAATGAATTGTCTCTTTTTGAAAAAGAAAACGAAAAATTTTCTTTATGAAAGACTCTTTGAAAGAATTCCAACTCGGTGAGCTAGACTGAATTAGAAAATAGGAAGTAAGCTATAAAACTGATATAAGATTTATCTATCATATCATCATCATCAGTTTGTATTATTTTATTTCAGGGAATATGGGCTCCAAGAAAGATCACAAATCCTGACTTCTTTGAAGATTTAGAACCATATAAAATGACCCCTATTGTAAGTATTGGTTGATATTGTTAGGTATGCTTCAGTCGCACAAGAACCATATAAAATGACCCCTATTGTAAGTATTGGTTGATATTGTCAGGTATGCTTCTGTCGCACAAGAACCATATAAAATGACCCCTATTGTAAGTATTGGTTGATATTGTCAGGTATGCTTCAGTCGCACAAGAACCATATAAAATGACCCCTATTGTAAGTATTGGTTGATATTGTCAGGTATGCTTCTGTCGCACAAGAACCATATAAAATGACCCCTATTGTAAGTATTGGTTGATGTTGTTAGGTATGCTTCAGTCGCACAAGAACCATATAAAATGACCCCTATTGTAAGTATTGGTTGATATTGTCAGGTATGCTTCTGTCGCACAAGAACCATATAAAATGACCCCTATTGTAAGTATTGGTTGATGTTGTTAGGTATGCTTCAGTCGCACAAGAACCATATAAAATGACCCCTATTGTAAGTATTGGTTGATATTGTCAGGTATGCTTCTGTCGCACAAGAACCATATAAAATGACCCCTATTGTAAGTATTAGTTGATATTGTTAGGTATGCTTCAGTCACACAAGAACCATATAAAATGACCCCTATTGTAAGTATTGGTTGATATTGTTAGGTATGCTTCAGTCACACAAGAACCATATAAAATGACCCCTATTGTAAGTATTAGTTGATATTGTTAGGTATGCTTCAGTCACACAAGAACCATATAAAATGACCCCTATTGTAAGTATTAGTTGATATTGTTAGGTATGCTTCAGTCACACAAGAACCATATAAAATGACCCCTATTGTAAGTATTAGTTGATATTGTTAGGTATGCTTCAGTCGCACAAGAACCATATAAAATGACCCCTATTGTAAGTATAAGTTGATATTGTTAGGTATGCTTCAGTCACACAGTTTTCAATGTTGTTTATTGATATGAATAGAAAGTAGGAAAACATGGTATTTGTTTCAAAAAACAATTTAATATTTTGGCATAATTGTTCAGGACAGTCATAAGGATTGTCAGAGTTCTGTAAAAGAACAATTTAAAGAAATTCAATACAATGTCTTTTTGTGTCAGATTTTTAAATGATTACATGCTAAATCAAGTCAAAGTTGAAGCAAAATTTCTTTCTTGTTCCTGTTTAATTTTCTAATTTTGAAAATATTTACTGAATTTCCTCCTAAAAATGAGACAGGTATTGATTTCTATCATAGAAGGGAGGTGACTCTTTTAAATTGAAGACATGGGAGACCACTTTTGGAATGTGTCCAGTGGCAAAAAGTGGAAAACTGAAAGAAAGGGAACATCTTTTTTTCCTTCACATATGTTTGAGAGACTTTACTAGCAATGGCTTCAACATTGGTTATTGAGATTGGTTTTTGCATTTTCTCTTTATTATGCCACATGAAAAATATATGTTTCCAATTATTAGACAAACTTTCTTTTACCCCAAAGTATTTTTTCAATCATAATAATAACTTCTTTTTAATCATCTAAATGTATCAGTTTCTATACAAATTACATACATTATAATAGGGAACCTCTTTTAGAATAGATGACATTGTATTTATCCTTTTTCTGCTTTTTTAAAGATTTTTGTTATATTCCACTTGTAAACACAAAAAGAAAATATTAATTTAAAAAAACAAGAAAGATGGCTCTTACCATTAAAAGGATTTCAACCAGAAACACGTATTTGACTTTAAAAGAATATATTGTTAATGCATTTGATTTCATAGTTACCTATCATGTAATTCTTTACTATTCCAGCATGCTTTAGGATTAGAGTTATGGTCGATGACAGATGAGATTGTGTTTGATAATTTCTTGATCACAGATGACAAAGCTGTCTCCAGTTCTTACACAGCACAAACCTGGGAGATAAAATCTGCACAAGAGAAAGTTGTCTCTGGAGGGGTAAATTACTTGTCAAAGTTTTATCATTTACAATGACAAAATTATTTTTGTATAAGGGCATACGATACCGATTGTATTTAAAATTTGGACACAAGGGCAAAATGTTATATCCACTCTTGAAATATGCCTATGTGACTCACTTTTGGGATATATTGTCTGATTTTGTCATTTTCGAGTTCAAACAAAATTTCATATCATTTCAATCATATTCCAAAAAAATTAAACTTCAAAAAATAAAATATAATAAAAATTTATAAAAATGTCAGGAGTTGACACTAAGCAAATTCAAAGTATTTTATTGATAATTGCTGATATAGAAGTAACTAGTCCATGTTCGCCTTTGCAACTGCTTTCAAATTCATGCATCGTATGTAATAAAGTCAGTATATTTACTGCAAATTACAGATACCTTTTGTGTACAATGTCCTCAAAGAACAGGTTAAGATTTAATGTGTATTATTTACCCTTGCTACTATATCGTATGCCCTTAAAGTTTACCTTTGACGAACAAATAAAAAAAATTGTAAATGTAACCATAGCCGTTAAACTATATTCTGTTGGAGACTTAAAAAATGGTATAATCTGTTTATCACATATTTTAACACCACCAGTAATAAAACTGTTTTATTTGTTTCCAATATTTTCTAAATTCAATACCTAAAACATCATTGACAATCTTTCTACATGTATTCTGTAGAAATGTCATAATTCAAGAAACAACATATATATAGTTATTAACAACATGACATGACATTGATTGATTGATTATTGCTTCATGTTTTCTCTGTTTATGCAATATAAGTCAGAGTCATTAAAAAAAAATGTGATAAACAAAATTATGAATCTATAAATACTTTGAAAATTGTCTGTTACAATTGTTGATTTGGTACAGAGACATTAAGGCATGATTTATGATTGTTTCAACAACCAATGTTTTATTTAGTGAACAAAGATTGATTGATGTTTGCTTAACTTCCTCCTAATGTAAAGCCTACATTGAGTGTGAATATTTCAGAGAAGTGTTGTTGATGCTATATTAGATGCCACAAGAGATCGGCCATGGCTTTGGGCAGTATTTCTAGTTGTAGTTGTACTGCCCATTGTCCTAATTATTGCCTATTGCTGTTTTTCTAAATCGCAGGTAAGGGACAAATTGAATGTTGTTTATGCGAGTACACACTGGATAACTTTTAATACTGTTTGTTTTTGATAACGTGAACATTTACTAGCAACCTCGATACAAATCAGAGGGATTTTTATTATTTCCTTATAAAACAAAAATGAAACTATTATTTTGGCAGTTGGATTTTATTGAAAAATTATAAGTAAAATGCAAAAAAAAAATCTTTATTTTGGTATGTACAGCAACAGTATTTGCATCCAGAAAAATAAAGAAATGCATTTGTTCTGGATTTTTTTTTAAAGAGAAGTCAAATTGACATGCATTTGTCAAATTGATGTATTAAAAGTTCTGGTGTGTACTCAGTTTTCTAGTCAACATGAAAATGCAGTCAGACTTAGAAACTAATGAATTGTTTGTCACCATTGACATAGAAGATTTTTCCATGTATTTGACCCTGTTTATAGTTTATCAACAAAATTTCAAAAGCAAAAGTCAAAACTGGGTTTTCATGTTGAATATTTATATGTTTAGAAATCAAAGGACTTCAGAATTTCCTTTTATAAGCCATGAATTATAATACGTGAAAATATGTGACATGATTTTTTTTACTATTGTTTAAATAGCCCGAAAAAAAAAAAAATCTTTTAATTCATGGCTTATAATTGATTTCTGAAGTGACCTGTCTGATAAAATGTATGCAATGATATAAGTGTGTTTATCTGAATGTTATTTGCATTGACAGAAGGGGCTTTGGGCATCTATAAGAGGAGCAGCAGACGAGAGACCATGGCTGTGGGCTGTTTATGTTGTTGTTCTCTTACTTCCAGTTTTACTACTCTCCATCTGTCTCTGTCCAAGAAGTGGACCAATCAAGGTGCAGTTCTTTTTCTCTGCTGTAAATTCTCAGTCTTCATACTTCTGTTAAAATCTTAATTCCTGTTTAAATATTTTAAAAGCATATTTAAGAAGAAAGAAAGAAAAAAAGCTTTACCCTCCAAAAAGTGATTGTTTAGTAGCTAATTTTTTGTCACTACAGTTTAGATATTATCATGAGCTAATCAAACAGGTGTTTGCTATAAATATCCATGTTGATTCAGATGATTTTCACCCTAGATTTCCTGGAGTTTTCCATGAGAAATTATTTTTCAACTCCTATAAATTTTATTAGATTAATTGCAAGAAAATGTGCTCAACATTCCAATATTTTCTGGACAAATCAGAAATAAGAATAGGTAAGATGGGTAACTCTTTGATATGGATGGACATTCATGGTGTTCAAAATTTAATACACGGCAAAAAATCCTGAAAAATTGCTCATAGACTATAAAAATGTAAAAATTCAATATTTTATTGACCATTTAGGAAGAAGTCGGCTTTTAGATTTTTATGGAAAAAGTCTTGTCATATAAGAACTGTTGTATTAATTTAAAAATTTAAAACATGTCATTTAAATGGCCATTTAAGAAGTTTTTTCATGGTTAAATGTCGTCACTGTACAGATATTTCTGGTTGCAAAAAATGTATTGCTACTTCACATAGAGTTTTGATTAGTATAACCCACTTTTGAAGCAGGGTGTCTGTCTGTTTGTCCATTATTTCATCCATCCTATGCTCCTGAATTACTTCACACTTTTTTTGCTTACTATTTAATTTTTAAATCCAAATGATTTTTTAGTTTACTTTGGCATGACCTGGACTTGGCGCTGAAAAAAATCATGTAGTTTTGAAGCAATAAATGTAATATAAGTACAGAGGAAAAGGTGTACATTTAATGAGGGACATGTTAAATTAAGTATCAAATGGTTCCTTCTATGAGGAGGGAGAATTTCATATTTTTTGTTGATTTTTACTTAATTCAAATTGTTATGAATTTTTTAATGATATATTTACAAATGCAAAATCACATAGTAAAATTAAAGAAGCAATTTCTGGATGAAAGGATGAGAAAAAAAAAATGATTCAAACTTCATAGAATTAGTTACCTAAAGGAGATTATTTAATGGGTCATTGTATACTGCCTTGGTAGTATAGCTACATGCTGATTGCTGACTTTTGTATACTTTAATGTCATACCAATTCTTGTTCCTATTGATAGAATAGTTCTTGGTACAAATATTATAGTATCATAGTCAATCATACCAAATTCACTGTCGATAATTGTATATACTGTGGATTGGACATTCTTCATGGAGTACCAATTTTCAAGGATTTTGAGGGAAGGGACGAAACACAAATTTCAAATGTTCAACATAGTATAATTTTTTTACAGACATTTATGCAAACTTTGGCAAAAGCAGGAAAATACAAATTTTCTTCAATTAACAAAAATTAGTATCCATTAAAATAACATGTGATTAACAAAATGAAACAAAACATGTGATTTAAACCTGGTTTTTGATAAAAAGAAAAATATGAACAGACAAAGAGTCCACAAAACAGTACACAGTAAACTAAGTATTGAGCCACTCAACCACCTAGGTGAGGTGAACTCAAGTGCTAGAAGGGTCAGCAGTTGCTGTTCAACTAGTATCATAATATTGATTCAAAAGATCACAAGTCAAATGCTTTTTTTTTTTTCAGTTTATTGTTTTGACTTGTCTCATTTCATAACAGTAACTTTAATTAAACTTTACAGCCAGAGGTGTTAGAAGCACAAAGAAAGAAAACTGATGAGCCTTCACCAGATGATAAAGAGGCTGAAAATAAAGAAGAGGAAGTAGGACCCAAGGGAGATAATCAAGAAACAGTTAAGAAAACTAAAAAGTCTGATTTAGATGTAAAAGAGGTATGTTGAAACCTGTGTATAATTAGGAAGGTCAGAAGGTTGGAGAAATATTAGAACTGGTCTTAAGTGAACATTTTACGTGTGTATTTCCTTTGTCTTTGGAGAAGTCTGTAGTTTAATCTTTTTTTAGATATCAATGACTTTGCCAAACCTTTATGGAATTTTACCAGACTTTATTAGAAGCTTCTTCATGATCAAAAGACAATATCCAGGGAAAAATTTTGTAGAAAATATTTTGTTTTCATGTTTTCAATAATTTACCAATAAATGGACTTAGGGTGGTTCCGTTTAAATATACATGTTTCCCAGGGAAGTTGCTTTCAAAATGAGGTAACTCCTATAGAGGCAATTTTAGAATTTCCTTACATTTTCACTAGACAAAAATGTACCTAACCACTCCGACCCATAGCTGATATTTCAAAGTGCCTTCCCTGGGTCCCATGTATGTTTTTATGGAACAGCCTTTAAATTTTTTTTTCTTGCATTCAATTTAACCTTAAAGTACATTCTTTGGTTCAAGTTGTATTTTATAAGCATCAATGATTTTGTCAAATCGTTTTGGAATTTTATGAAACTTGGACATAATCTTTTTCTTGATCAATGAAAATAATGCTTGATAATTTTGATGCATCCTTAGTGCTTATCTGGATTTACTTTCATCAGAAACTCTCAAACCTAAACATTCGAAAGCCAGATCAAGAAATAGCAAATATTGGGGGAAAAATTATATCATTTTCCTGTATTTTACTGATAACAGACTTATTTTTTCTTTGACATTTAAAATTAAGATACAGTTTGTGGTTATAGTTTTTTTGACATTGATAAATTTGGCAAACCTTAATAGATTTTTATAAAACTTGGACTTGGACAGAGGCTTTTTCATAATTAAGAGATAACATCTGAAGCAAAATTTTGACAATATTTTTATATGACCACAAAACTTTTGTGGCCGTATAATGGTATGGTGATTTCGTAGACCAAAGACATTTGGTTTCCAGGCAATAACTTGAGTACAAGGAGTACAAGTGTATGGATCTCTATGAAATTGTACCACAAGTTTACATACATCAAAAGGAAGGTTGGGTTTGATTTTGGGGTTTATGGCACAAACTGTTTAGGAATTAGGGGCCAAAAAACAAGGACTTTCTGGTTTGTGGACAATAACTTGAGTATAAGTGTATAAATCTCTATGAAATTGTACCACAAGGTTCCATACCAAAAAAGAAAGGTAAGCTTTGATTTTGGGGGTTATGACAGATCAAGTTTGAATTTTGGTGGCGTCACTTCAACCTTTCTAGAGTTATGCCCCTTTACAAATGGAAAAATTGCTGAATTTTTTGTTTCCGTTCTCTAACTTTAGTTTGCCTCAACCAAATGTTATGAAACTTATACACAATGCTTATTACCACAAAACTCAGATCAAGTACAAATTTGGGTAGCGTCATTTTTACCCTTCTAGTTTAATACATTGTATAAATTGTTTATTTCTCGACCAATTTCAATGGGGTTTAATTCAAAGTTTTGAATTCTTTGGAGTTCTTTAATATGCTGAATTTAACCGTGTATTTAGATTTTGGATTTTGAGCCCCGTTTTTAAATTGATCCACATTGAGGTCCAAAGGGTCCAAAATTAAACTTTTGATTTTATCAAAAATTGTATTATTGGGGTTCTTTGATATGCTGAATCTAGCTGTGTATTAAGATTTTGGATTTTGGGCTTGGTATTCAAATTGGTCCACAGGGTCAAAAATTAAACTTTGTTTGATTTCAACAAAAATTGAATATATAGGGTTCTTTGATATGCTGAATCTTAACATATATTTAGATTTTTGATTTTGGGCCCAGTTTTCAAGTTTTCCATATCGGGGTCCAAATTAAACTTTGTTTGATTTAAAAAAAGATTGAATATATGGGTCCTTTGATGTGCTGAATCTAACCGTGTATTTACATTTTTCGTATTTTGGCCCTGTTATCCACATTGAGGTCCAAAGGCAAAATTAAACTTTGTTTGATTTAATAAAAAATCAAATTCTTTGGGTTCTTTGATCTACTGAATCTAACCCTGAATTTAGATTTTGGATATTGGACCATAATAGGTAAATGTCCAATTTCAAATTTTAAGACCACATTCATTCTGTGTCAGAAACCTATGCTGTGTCTAATATTTAACCACAATCCAAATTCAGAGCTGTATCAAGCTTGAATGTTGTGTCCATACTTGCCCCAACTGTTCAGGGTTTGACCTCTGTGGTTGTATCAAGCTGCTTCCTGCAGAGCATTTTATTTTTTTTATTTATCCATATTTTACTGATTTTTTTAACTCAATTTAAAGCAGTTTTCATTTACATACAGTCTAGGGTTAATTTGTTTATTTTACAAAAGCTTTTATCAAGAGATACCACCTTTGAGTAAAATTTGAACCCCTTTTTTCATGTTATATGTCAAACTGCAGCCTTCAAAACTGAGCAATACCTATACTGTATAGTAAGATGTAAATGGCTCTGGCATGGCTTAGTGTTATACAGTTTCATAGGGAAAGCCAAATCCTTGATTTAAGCTAAAAATGATTAAAAGAAAAACAAATATGGCAGACAGCAACTAATGACAACCAATTAGTTTGTCAAAAATAATTGTTTATTTTATTGGATATTTGTACATGTGTCAATTAATTTTGTACAATTTTCATGAAAACTGTAAATTGTACTTTGTACTGTAGATTCATCTGTTAACGTGAGAATTAATTTTTTGTGGAACTTTTTTTTTTCTCAGGAAAGCAGTCAAGATGAAGAGGGAGATGATGAAGGAGAGGAGGAAGAAAAAACGGAGGATAAATCAGCGGATTCTACCAGACGTACATCACCAAGAAAACGAAAACCTAGGAAAGAATGATGAAGTTCAAGATTAGTTTATGAAAAAATTATCATTTGCATGAAGATCAAGTTTAGTTTGATATGAAAGGATATCAAGAGGAAATCATCCAACTATTTACGATGTTAAAAACATCAAGATTATCACATCTGTCATTTGTAATATAAAAATTTACATTCATTTTATCATGTTTATATTAAAATCGATGGTTGATGATAGTGAAATTTGTTGTGTTGCATTTTCTTTGTGGGGATTATTTTTTAAATCACTGTAATTGCAACATCAGTGAGAATTTTTTATTCCTGGTGTCTTAGAATGCAAAATATATTAGCTGGACACTTTGATATAAATTGTTGCTTTCTACAAATCAGTTTTTAATAGAGTAGATGCCAAAATATGATGAGGGATTTATATTGTTCAATTATTGGAATCAAATCAATGCTTTTGTTTTTAAACTTGCAAATAAGATGCGTAGAGAAAAATCTGGCATTTTTGAAAAAAAAATTATTTGGATTAAAGTAACGCTAGTTGTTCTAAGAACGAAAAATTAAATTATGAGTGGTCTATGATACATCTATTACAGTGAACATAAGTATAAAGTGATCATTATCGCTTCATTCATTCCACTAATTCTTCATTTATTCGTCGCATTTACTTCAATACCAGTTGCTTGGATTAAAGTAGGCCCTAAGAAAATTTAAGTACATTAAGAAAGGGAAAACACTCTTCCATTACCAAAACTATTTTAGGGATTTACCATAGTCAAAAATTGTCCTTGTCGTATCTGTATAAATAATATGTGAGTTAAGCTTTAAAGACTGTTCGAAATTTATTGGGTTGGGGGATGGAAGGCACTCAAATTAATTTAATATGGTTGGTTGCATTTTTCTCAGAATTTTGTAAGAGTTATAAGTAAAATAAATTGAAAAAAATATTATGGGTGGTCAGTGTATTTCTTGAACAACCCTAAGAGGTTGTCTGGTTTTTATTGAGAAAGTATATGAGAGCAAGTTGAGGAACAAATTGGTTAAATGTAATTAATACAGGAGCATAATAGCTTTTATGTATGTTTGTTTCAGCTTTAGTCTTTTAATGTAATTGCAACTAAGGATAATGCATAAATAATTTGTAGATTAATTCTTGGTCCTAAATTTCTGTTAAGTTATAATTTTGTTGGCAAAAACAGTAAATAGTCAATATTTTTTCATTGGAATTTAATTTATTTGTACTGAATGAGATTCCTTGTAATAGGTGGTTTTATCTGGGTGATTCCTGTGAAACAGAATTTGAATAATCAATGTTATAATACTGAGGATTCATTATAATTCGTTAGATACCAATTTTCGTGTATTTCGTGGGTACAGGTGAACCACAAATTCAAATGTTCAACGAATTACAAATTTTCCATAGACTTGTATGCAGACTTAAGCAAAACCACAAAATAAAATATCCACGAAAATGTAAGTTTCCTCAATCCACGAAAATTGGTACCCACGAAAATAAATGAATCCACAGTAGAAGCTTAGAATATATGTATGAATATATTTGACACAAGTGTACAAGTGATTTATTGAGTTATGTCCCTTAATTATTTAATAACAAATGATGATTTATTGAATGTAGGTTTTATGTTATGATGTCTGAATGATTGGTTTTGTTTACCTGATTTTGAATTGGCTTAAATTAACAAAGTTCACATTCTGAGACTATTTAACATCTTGTTTTGTACCTATTAACCTATTGATGTCGGAAAAGCAATTGCTTTCGATCCTGTTTTCTATACAAATTTAATGGTAAAATATAATTTTTTTGTAACTGTTGACCAGCTTGAGATTGATCCTAAGAGTGATAAGTATAGTGCCATTAAGGGCTATTCTACTTAACATTCATGGTACCACAGATGGCCCCTTAAAAAGTTGCATCTACCATAAGAAGCCATTTTTACTCAAGCTCAAAATCATAATTTCAAATAGGATAATTTTATGTGAAGTATTACATGGTTTTGGTGGAGTACCCTTCCATTGTGAGCTTAACAACTTATATATTTAAAACTTGTGATTTTTGTTGCTATGAAGACGTAAATGAAATCCAGATGTTTTAATTCTTACAATCATAACCAGTTTGCATGTTTATTATTATTCAGATAATCAATGTTACAGTTTTTATGCTTTATTTCAACTACAAGGGCACAATCTAATCAAAGGTTGCTTTACAGGCTAATTTAATTCAAAATTTGTCAAGGTGAAGATGGATTTCTGCCTTTTTCAATATGATATTTTCATAATATTTTCAGATGGGAACACCAAAACATTGCTATTGGTTAGAAATGCCCTAACCAAAGAAAATTTACCAATGAGGGATACTATTTTTACTTTGGTGAATGAACAATGAAATTACACATGATTCTATAGATTGAGAATTGATGAATCTCTCTCTATCCCTAGCACTAAAAAAGTCACATGCTAGCCCAAATGAGGTAGAGAAACAGATCAATACACTTAATTTTATTATCAGTGCCATTAACATTCCAAAAATAATGTTTAAAGATATCATATCAAATGATTTTCTTTAATCTGTTTTGCACATAGCTTGATGTATCGGCTCTCCTCAGTTTCTATATGCTAAAGAACATTTCAGAACTTCTTTTGATTGAGGCAATTATTGCCATTGAAGAAGTTGTCAAGGGAAGATGATATTGAAGAATCAAAGCAGAAAGCATTATTGTATTTAGTAACTAATTTAATTGAAACTGATCAAAATCTATTTAAACAATTTTTAGGTGTTGAAATCAATATAGTTCATGTGGCAGCTCCTTTCAGGTGACGACAATTTGTTCTAAATTTCTTTTTGAGCACACACACTTGCCAATTTTATAAATAGCTTAGATTAGGTTTTATTAAATTGATTACTAGCAAGATAATATGTCAATGAATGTATGCTTGATTCAGTCTATGGAAATTTCGATTTTATTTAAGAATGTATATTGTCTGTTAGATGGCCATTTCTGTATTTAATTACATTTATCAGAAATAAAAAAAAACTGAATAGTTTGTTTCTCAGGAAGCGTAAAATTTGCATCAAAACAGTTTGCTGATTAATTTCTTTTTTTTTTTAAATTCTGGAAATGTGTCATTGTTGATTGAGTCTGTAGTTCAAAAAAGGACATTTTTTAAAACATTTGACTGGCCCCCGTACATCAGATTTAATATGTTTCTGGCTGTGTTTGTATGCCGTATTGGCCTGGGGAGAGATGATTAAATATTTGCCCTGTTCACCGTTTGTGTTTAACAGCCTTGTACAGGGAAATGTAAATTCAAGGTCAATTTTGGGAAAAACTGCCTTCCACAAACATACCAAAAATCAGACACAAAAAGATTTTTCAAAATATTGTCAAAGCATCTTTTAGAAAATATAAAAGTTTAAGATTTTGCAAAGTTTAAATTGTTTAATAGGAAGCTTAAGATTTATTTTATGAACTTACATTATTTTATGTCTTATTTGTTTCTACATGTATGTATTGATTTGGTTTGTACATTTATTAGATTATATGCCACAAATGTGTGTTAAAGTGTTAATTTGTTTGTTTGATACATGTGCGTATATAAGGTCAACATTTTTATGTTGGGATAGTCTTATTTAGATATTGATAGTGACTTATGGTTTATTGGGTAATTTTATATATTGAATTCGCTTTGTTTTTTCAACCACAAATTACAAAGTTTTGAAACAATTATCCATGGAAACTATCATAGTTTGTGTTCCACCATTTTTTTTTGAAACAGTACATTTATACTGCTTGTATGTAAATTCCTTTAGAAGTGAATTGTTAAAAATGAAAGGAAAAAAAAGTGAAAGATGATGTTTGAGTTGAAAATAAAATCTGTGTATATTTTATAGACCTGCAGCTTTTTGTGAAAAGAGTTGATGGAACTTTTATAAATTAACAAACATGAATCAAATAGATATGAATTGTAATAAAAATAACTTTGTATTTTTTAGAGACCAGAGACGAGAAGTGATAAGAATTGGTTAAAAGTCCATAAATTATTTTCAGAACACTGAACAAATCTTTAAAAAATGGAAGTTCAGAGAAATGAATTTGAATATCACAATCTCTTTACTATCAGATATTTTGTTACTTACACAAATATCCTCAGGCCAAAATCCAAATACATAGTGAATAAAAACCAAAAAAGCCAAAAGTGTGCAAGCTTAGCTTTGTCTCAGAAAGTTTAAACCATACTTACCATAATTCTAGAATATTGAAATTGAAAGTTGGTAGTTTTTAGTTCACCAATGTTATGTAGATCCAGTGAGTTCTGTAAATTTGAGATTTCTTACCTGATGTTTAGTTTAAAGATTATCTATAGTTCTGAAAACGAGAGTGAGTTTCTCGGCTACAATCTCATTGAAGAAAGAGGAGATGTAGCCAAGAAACTTCCTGGAGTTGAAAGACCATATATCTGTTTATTGTTATTTTCCTAGGCAGCGTCAACACTCTATTCCACTGAGAAAAACACATGCTAGACAATTATCTTTAGATGGAAAATTATATCACAAAGATCAAAAGAAAATTGAAGAAAGTAAAAGCAATTAAAAACAATTTAATTTCAGCAGCTTACAATTTTTAAAAAGAAACCATAAAAATATATAGTCTAAAAAGATCAAGCATGTGAAGGTTTTAAGCTGTAACACTTTAGACCATAGTATTGGTAGAAACGATGCATATATTTTTTTGTATTATTTATTTTAAATAGAGGAAACAAAACCAGAACTTATATATGCAATGTGAGTGTTGTTGAGAAAATGTTATTTGTGGAATGATAACTAGACTTGTATTTGTACATTGTTACTTTAATGAATAATAAACAGCTAATATCTATACAAACTAGATCTTACGTTGGAAATGTCATAAGACATAAAAGGGGATGTTGTGCACACACCAATGAGACTTCAACCAAACTGCTTAAATAATTACAGGTCAATAGTCTTCAACAACTAAACACAAGAGTGCAAATGCTGAAATGTCTCGCCTGTTTTACTGACCATTGATTTTATGTTGATAGTCCTAAATATAAAGTTTTACTACAAGTATCACATAAACTTAACATGATCAAGAAAATGAGGTCAGGGTCAGATAAACCAAGCCAAAAATACATGTACACCTTAAAATCATTCCATACACCAAATATAGTTGACCTTCTGCTTATAGTATACAAGAAACAGATCAAACCATGAAAACTATATATTGAACAAAGAACCATGAAAATGAGGTCATAGTCAGATGAATCCTGCCAGACAGACATGTACACGTTACAATCATTCTATGCTTTAAATATAGTTGACCTATTGCATATAGTATCTAAGAAACAAACTTAACCAGGAAAACTTAACATTGATCAATAACCATGAAATAAGGTGGGAACTGCCAGACAGACATACTATCATTCCATACACCAAATATAGTTGACCTATTGCCCATAGTTTTAAAAAAACAGGCCAAAACACAAAACTTAACATAGAGCAATGACCCGTAAAAATGAGGTCAAGGTCAAATAAAACCTGCCGGACTGACCTGTACATTGTAAAATATTATATTACACCAAATATAGGTGACCTATTGCATACAGTATTAGAAAAACAGACCAAAACACAAAAACTCAACTTTAACCACTGAACCATGAACATGAGGTCAAGGTCGGATGACATCTGCCAGTTGGACATGTACACTTTACAATCATTCCATACATCAACTTTAGTAGACCTATTGCTTATAGTATCTGAGATATGGACTTTACCACGAAAACTTAACCTTGTTCACTGATCCATGAAATGAGGTCAAGGTCAAGTGAAAACTTTTTGACAGACATGAGGACCTTGCAAGGTACGCACATTCCTAATATAGTTATCCTATTACTCATAATAATTGAGAAATTAAGAATACTAAAAATTCTAACTTTTTTTCAAGTAGTCACTGAACCATGAAAATGAGGTCAAGAACAACGGACATATGACAGACGGAAACTTCATAACATAAGGCATCTATATACAAACTATGACAGATCCAGGTCTTCTACCTTCTGAAATATTAAACTTTTAAGAAGTTTGTTAACTCCACTGGATGACTATCCTTATGTCTCGCTTTCTGAGAAATAAGTCGCAGTCTCGACAAAAACCATTCAGTCTAAAAAGTTAATAATGAATTAAACAGAAACTGGCAAAGATCTGACATCTTCACTTATTTTCTTATAAAACATTTTGCCCTGTAGCTTCAGTCATGGTTCATTAACTTTGAGTGTCTTGCATATTTTACATGTACTAGTATTGCTATTTTGATTTCAATATTTGCATTTTACTATAAAAATTACATACAGGCGAGACATATGTCGGTGGTAACAATTTATTAACATGGTGTATTGTCATTGTTCCTTCCAAAACAGTCCTTGGATTTGGCACTTAGCCTGCAGATTTCTATCTTGCATAGGCTCTTAATGAATTGAATACAATTATGTGCTTGATAAGCTTAAAGACTACAATAATCCTTACTTTACCAGATTGAACGCATGATTATATATAAGCAGAAACCATCTAGCTAGAGAATCCTTTGTCTGATCAATTTTGGGAACTTGGATACATATACATTGTACACCATATGCCGGTGCTGCTCGAATTTTATTACATCAAAATGGAAAATCATAAAAAAAATTGATACCTGGTTTTTAGTCGAGGTATGAAACAGAATTAGCTTTATCTGTGGTATCCTTTATTTAACAATGCTTCAAGTTCTAGGAAAAGGATGTGGTTAACAAATTAAAAAAAAAAATCGTCATCTACTTAGCCTTGTGGAATGGGGAGTTAAATAAATTCGATATATGCTTTCTAGTATTCTTGAGAGACCCCTTAAATATCAACGAAGGAAAGAACACGTTAGCGAGTGAGTTTTAAATTGATTCAAAGAGGTAGAGCTGAGAATATTTTGTGGAAGTGAGTATTTGTACTAGTCTTTTCTGGTGCTAAATGTTTGAAACTGCAGTGCATTGGTGTAACTGGTGTTGTTGATAGGTGGTGGAACAAGGTAAAGGTTTGGGTCCTTGACTTTGCACAACTTTGTTACTTTTTTTATGGTTCTGCTAGTTTCTAGTGATTTCTATTTGAGATTGTCAACCAAGGAAATGACGGCTGGTGTTTGGTAACTGTTTGCAACGTAGCGTGCAGCCCTTTTTTGTACTTTTTGGTTTTGAAAAGCCCAAGATCATGATAGGAAAGCATTATGGTTTCCTAAAGGCAGCTGACACCAGGGGGCGATACCTTATGGGCCATAGGCATGTAAAATGTGTGTAAATGTCTCTTTCCTACCTGTATCAAAAGCAAACAAGGAAGCATCATAGGTAACTTGAATGCAGTTGATACCAGGGGACGATGCCTCAAGGATATAAAAGAACATTTGAATAAATAATATATCTTAACAATCATTTTTTTTTTTTTTAATCGGCTAGTATGTTTGTGATATTCAGATGAATATAATTTTCTATGTCCAATCAAATGTATATACACACATAGATTTCCTTTAACTAATCTTCACTAAGGAAGATGTTTGTATATAAAATTACATATTATTTTAAGTAACTCAACATTTTCTACACTAAATAACCAGATAATTTTGCTTTGACTGCTCATATGATTAAAATAAGAATTATATTTTGCAATACTAGCTAACATACAATTTCTATCATCCTCAAATTTGTTACAATCAAATAGAAAATGAGCCTCATCTTCGACAGTATTGGAAGAACATTTATTACATATTCTGTTAATTCGGGGAATACCCTGATATCTACCTAATTCTATTTGTAATCTATGAGAAGATACACGTAATTTAGTAAAACTTCTAAGTTCAAAATTCTTGATCAATGTTAGATATTTTTCAAAACCAAAATTTGTTTTATATAAAAGGTAGGTTTTCAGTTTACTGTCTGAAAATTTATCTATTTGTTTTTTCCAACAGCTAATAAACAATATTGATAGCTTGGTTTGTATATATTTCTTAAATTTGTATAAGGATTCACAAAATGGAGCATTTATGGCATTTGTATAGTCAATACCAAGTATTTTAAAAACAACATTTATTGAACCATACCATGATGTTATATTCATGTGATGTAGTGTCTTTGATTGTGTATATGCCTCTTTTAATAGAGGAAAATTATTACCTAAATTCTCTAATCTATACCAGTACAATAACATTCCTTTTATAATATTAAAATATATTGGAAATCTTCCAAGTTCAGATAACACTGCAGCATTTGTTGTTTTCTTGTGTACCCCAAGTATAAATTTACCAAATTTTATATGAAGTTTCTCACAGGGTAAACCTGAATATAATTTTTCAAAAGATATATCTTCCTTCTTACATTTAGAGGAAAGAGAATTAAACATCCCCCATATTTCGCTACCATATAATAAAATAGGTTTTACAGTGTGGTCAAAAACATGAATACTTGTTTTTACATCAGGATTAAGTGATAAAAGATCTTTCCTTAATTTGAAATGAGCTTTCAGGGATTTTTTGTATAGTTCATTTTGAGCATAACTGAATGAACCAGATGAGCTTAAATATAAACCTAGGTATTTGTATTTTGAAACACATTCCAGATTTATATTCTGAAATGTGAATATCTGTTTTACATGTCTGCCTGCCTTGTTGAAAATCAGCACCTTTGTCTTATTAGTATTCACATTGAGACACCAATCTTTGCAAAATTTATCAAGCATTCCCAGCTTTTCTCGTAGTCCTTCAGCTGATGTAGATAATAAAACAATATCATCAGCATACATTAAACAATGTAGATCTTTGTCATTGACATTAACTGGGTCTCTAGTATCTGACAAATATCTGGGCAAATCATTTATGAATATCTTGAATAAATCCGGACTGAGGTTGTCACCTTGTTTGACTCCAATATCTAATGGGAAAAAATCACTTACTTGATTTTGAATTTTGACACATGATTTGCTAATTTCATACATACTTTTAATAATGTTATAAAAATAAGACCCAGCCCCAATATCTAGTAGTTTAATCTTGATCCCTGTATGTATAACAGTATCAAAAGCCTTCTGAAAATCAACAAAACAGGCAAACAGTCTACCTTCTTTTGAATTACAGTATTTGTTAATAAGACAGTTTAAAATAAACATATGATCTGCAGTTCTGGCTTTCCTTGTGAATCCAATTTGACTATCATGTATAATATTATGTTCCTGAAGAAATTTGTCCAGTCTTAGACTTAATATTCTATTAAAAAGCTTTCCAATTGCACTTGTTATTGTTATTCCTCTATAATTGTTAGGGTCACTTGTATTGTTGCTTTTAAAAATTGGTGTAATATAACCTTCAGCCCAAGATGTTGGGTATATACCTAAAGACAGACAAGTATTAAACATCTGTTGAAAACTTTTTAAAAGGAAAGTCTGTCCATTCTTTATCATATTATTACTAATGTTATCCAAGCCTGATGATTTATTGCATTTTAAGTGTGAAATGGCTTTGGATATTTCAGACTCAGTGATAACGGAGTCCAACTCGTTGAAACATTTTGAGTTTTCTAACTGTTTCAGTTTTTCACATAGCTCTGTATATCTACTTTGAAATTCACCTTTCAGTTGTGACAACTTTTGGAAATGTGATATCAAAGTTGATGGTTGTACTCCACATTTTTTTTGTGTTTCATTTTTTTCCTGTAGTTCATTAATTAAGTTCCAATACAGTTTTGGATTCTCTTCGTGCAAGGAGTCCAGCTGACTAATCAATGATTGTTTGTATTGTTTGTATTTATATTTCCTTAGTTTGGAGTATTCACGATTCAGTTTATAAAAGTGATTTTTGAT